GATCGGGTGGACATGGTGGACATGTTGGATCGGGTGGACATGGTGGATTAGGTGGACATGTTGGACATGTTGGACATGATGGATTAGGTGGACGTGGTGGATCAGGTGGACATGGTGGATTAGGTGGACATGTTGGACATGGTAGACATGATGGATCAGGTGGACATGGTGGATCAGGTGGACATGGTGGACATGTTGGATCGGGTGGACATGGTGGACATGGTTGACATGATGGACATGTTGGACATGGTGGACATGTTAGACGTGGTGGACATGGTGGACATGATGGACATGGTGGGCATGGTGGACATGATGGACATGATGGACATGTTGGACATGGTGGGCATGGTGGACATGATGGACATGTTGGACATGGTGGATTAGGTGGACACTATGGTCCCCTTCATAGACTGCTTCCGTCACAGCTCTGTGTTGAAGGCTGATCCGATCCTTTAAATGATGAAAGGATCAGGAGGATCGCTGCTGGTCCACATTTCCCATGATTCATTGCAGCTCAGCAGCAGTGGACGTCTGCGGTGAATAAAATGTCTCTGGGGACTAAAAGATGTCTTTGGGTCCCAGTAAGTGAATGAGGTGAGAGCAGAGGTTGGTTCATCTCTGATATCTGCTGATGAAGGCTGCTGGTGTTCCTCTGCAGCAGCCTTCAGTGGGCGGAGCTTAAACGCTGACCTGATTACAGACTTTGATCTGCTGCTCCATGAATCTTTGCTGAAGAAAAGATCATTTATTGAATGTTTCTGGAGGAACAATTTTAATGATCTCTGGTGCTCGTCTTCTCACGGCGGCAGCTGCAGATCCTCCAGGATTAAAGAAACGGAATCAGAACAAAACCTCAGAACTACGGAGTTTATTTTAAATCGTTTTTCTTCCTGTCGGACGATGGCTTTGATTTATCGCTCTGAGACAATAAGAATTTAATATTTTTCCTTTAATAAAGAACAATCATATCAGGATGAATAGAAAAATAGAATCTTCAGATTTCAGAGGTCTGTGCTTCCGGTCACGGTTGCTAGGCAACCAGCATTATGCCTGGGCCTCCTGCTGGAGACCCGGTCCACTCCCATGTTTGGGTCCACCATGCAGGGAGCCGGGTTGATGTGGGCTGTAGAACCGGGCCAGGGTGACGGGTTCTGTAGAGAAGAGAAGCTCAGCTGAGTTCTGACCCGACCCAGTTTCCCTCCTGTTATCCAGACCTTCCTGGACTCCTTTGGATCTGGATCAGTGGTTCTGGGCCTCAGAACAGAACCAGTAGAGTTCTGAAGGCTCTGATCCAAGAAGCTGAACTGTTCTGGACCGTCTGGGAGAACATGAAGTCCAGATGTACTGATCCAGATCCGTCCAGCTGGGCGGTTCCTGTCAGGAAGTGGGTTCCAGGATGTTGGAGCAGCAGGGCGTGGGTCTGTAACCTGACCGTGACCCGGTGCCGCTGTGCTCCTTCCTCCCAGTACAATGCTTCCTCAGAACCAGTGGGTGGGTGGGGGTGTTTGGCTCCGGCCCGTCTCAGAGGGAAGCGGCGCGCCCAGAGACTCACAGAACCAGAACATTCTGAGCTGGAATATAAATCCGGTTCTGCTCCACCAATCCTTCAGCCTGAAGTTTCACTCCACAGTGGGCTCCATCAGAACTTTAACCGGGTCACAGAAAGCTGGACCTTCCCTGACCCAGTTTCCAGAAAGTCCAGCTTAGATGAAGGTTCTGACCCGGTGCAACAATCAGAACCAACAACAGTTCCCGCTGAAACCAACAGCAGCCCCACTCTTTGCATCTCTAGCCCCGCCCACTTCCTGCTGGTCACCCAATGAGGTCCTTCCTCACAGGGGCAGATTTAGGAAATTTAGGGCCCTTGGCAAATACAGGCTGGGGGCTCCATGCCATTGGGTTCATCAATATCGTGTGAAAATATATATTAGAAACCCTGAACAGTCTGCTTCACTTCAGCTCGGTAAAGCTAACTTTGGCTGTTAGCTTTAGCTGTCTTTAGTTATTAGCTCAGAGGGGTTTCAGACCAACTTTAGCATTTAACTAAGAGGATTTCCAGGCTAACTTTAACAGTTAGCTTGGAGGTGTTTCAGGCTAACGCTTGCAGTTAGCTTGGAGGTATTACAGGCTAACTTAAGCCTTTAGCTGGAGGTATTCCAGGCTAACTCTTTATGTTAGCTTGGAGGTTTTTCCAGGCTAACTCTTTATGTTAGCTTGGAGGTTTTTCCAGGCTAACTTTAGCCCTTAGCTGGTAGATATTACAGGCTAACTTAAGCTATTAGCTGGAGGTATTCCAGGCTAACTCTATATGTTAGCTTGGAGGTTTTTCCAGGCTAACTTTAGCCTTTAGCTGGTAGATATTACAGGCTAACTTAAGCTATTAGCTGGAGGTATTCCAGGCTAACTCTATATGTTAGCTTTGAGGTTTTTCCAGGCTAACTGTAGCCTTTAGCTGGTAAATATTACAGGCTAACTTAAGCCATTAGCTGGAGGTATTCCAGGCTAACTCTATATGTTAGCTTGGAGGTTTTTTCCAGGCTAACTTTAGCCTTTAGCTTGGATATATTCCAGGCTAACTTTAGCCCTTAGCTGGTAGATATTACAGGCTAACTTAAGCTATTAGCTGGAGGTATTCCAGGCTAACTCTATATGTTAGCTTGGAGGTTTTTCCAGGCTAACTTTAGCCTTTAGCTGGTAGATATTACAGGCTAACTTAAGCCATTAGCTGGAGGTATTCCAGGCTAACTCTATATGTTAGCTTGGAGGTTTTTTCCAGGCTAACTTTAGCCTTTAGCTTGGAGATATTCCAGGCTAACGTTAGCCATTAGCTGAAGGTATTCCAGGCTTACTTTAGCAGTTAGCTCTGAGCTGTTTCAGGCTAGCTTTAGCCTTTAACCCTGACCCCAGAACTGAGGGGTTTCCTCCTAGCCGGCTAGCTCTGATTTGTACTAAACAGAGAAAGGAATCAATCAGTAACTGATGGAGATTCGATTCATTTCATTCACTCAAATATGTCATTATTTGAACACGTTCATTTGACCCAAAACAAGTAGAGGATGGAGACAAGGAGCTCATTTCTAAGCCACGCCCCCTTGATTTAGTTTTGTTCTGATAAATTCATTTTTTAATAATTTTTATATTTTTTAATTTTCCTTTTTTTAATCAGTCAATATGATTAGATGATTTACATTTAAAAGCTAACAGTATTGATCAGATCATGTTATTAAGCTGCTAACATTAAGAGTAAAACAGACCAGAGATTAATGAATCCTGCTTCAATGATCAGAACCTTTCAGGTTAGATCTGCGGCTCGGGTCGGTTTAGAGCGGCTCAGTGTGATCCCAGTCTAGAAGGTCCCAGGTCTGAGCCGCTCTAGAAGGTCCCAGGTCTGAGCCGCTCTAGAAGGTCCCAGGTCTGAGCCGCTCTAGAAGGTCCAGGGTCTGAGCCGCTCTAGAAGGTCCCAGCTCTGAGCCGCTCTTGAAGGTCCCAGGTCTGAGCCGCTCTTGAAGGTCCCAGGTCTGAGCCGCTCTAGAAGGTCCCAGAAGCTCTAGAAGGTCACAGGTCTGAGCCGCTCTAGAAGGTCCCAGGTCTGAGCCGCTCTAGAAGGTCCCAGGTCTGAGCCGCTCTAGAAGGTCCCAGGACTGAGCCGCTCTATAAGGTCCCAGGTCTGTGCCGCTGTAGAAGGTCCCAGGACTGAGCCGCTCTATAAGGTCCCAGGTCTGCGCCGCTCTAGAAGGTCCCAGGTCTGAGCCGCTCTAGAAGGTCCCAGGTCTGAGCGGCTCTAGAAGGTCCCAGGTCTGCGCCGCTCTAGAAGGTCACAGGTCTGAGCCGCTCTAGAAGGTCCCAGGTCTGCGCCGCTCTAGAAGGTCCCAGGTCTGTGGCGCTCTAGAAGGTCCCAGGTCTGAGCCGCTCTAGAAGGTCCCAGGTCTGAGCGGCTCTAGAAGGTCCCAGGTCTGCGCCGCTCTAGAAGGTCACAGGTCTGAGCCGCTCTAGAAGGTCCCAGGTCTGCGCCGCTCTAGAAGGTCCCAGGTCTGCGCCGCTCTGACGGGTTTATTCTGTCCTTCAGAGCGGGAGCGGCCCAGATGGAGGGGAAGTTGATGTGATTGGAGCGCAGCCAGAACCCTGGAAAAGAAAACCCCAGATTGAAAGCAGAGCTGGGTCTGCAGGCCCGTTCAGCGCTTTGTCTCCGGTCCAGAGAGAAACAAAAAAGTTCTGCAGACCTGTAATCAGAGCCTTCTAATTTTAGGCTGCAGACTTTTTACTACAGATTCTGTTTCAGCCCAAACGGGCCTGCTGCAGAACCGCCCCGTGCTTGCGGTGCATTCTTGTGGCTGCAGGATGTGGAGCGTTCAGCTGGAGGAGCCTGCAGCAGAAATAACTCTGAGGAAAAGTTCTGGAGAATGGTGGCTCCAGGTCACCTGGTTCTGGTTCTGAACCCATAAAGAGTTTTCTAGGTGATCCATGCAGGAGGTCCGGTTTGCTCCCTGCCTGGGATCTCAGCATGTTCCTGGATCAGGAAGATAACCTAGTCTGTTCTCCATCATCCCCATGCTATGATCCAAAAGCTCCGCCTTCCTCCACCTTCCTCCAGCTCTGTGGTTTCCTCCCAGGTCAGGCTGCTGAGAAGCTTCAGATGTTCTGACCTGCTGGAGGAGCTTCATGACCTCTGACCCTCTGAATCAGAACCGTTCTGATAAACTCCTTCAGCTGCTTAATTCTTCTTCAGATCAGTTAAAGCTGTTTCCTTTGAATTACCAGCTGGCTGCCAGGTCCTACAATGCTAATGCTAAGCTATTAGCATTAGCATTACTCTCACCAACCATCTGCTGGACGGCCTTCTACTGGTTCTCCAGTTGAGAGAGCATAAAGAAAAAGTTTCCACATCATGAAATCAAATAAAGCTTAATATACTCTATGGTTCTCTGGATGAATGATTATTCAGTTAGAGGCGGGACGGTTAGTGGTTCTCTCTGAAGCCGACGATCTGCTGTGTTTTCCAGAGCTGCTGGGTTCCACCAAGAGGCTGAACATCAACTACCAGGACTCTGATGGGTGAGAGAAGAACCTTTGCTTTAACATATATTTTCCTCTTTTTGTTGGTAGATTGTTTCCTTTCTCTGCTAAAAAAAACTTCATTAAAATTCATCAGTTTGAAATAAAAAAATGAAGAAAAAATGTTTGAAAACCTGGAACTTTAGCTGAATATAAATAAATATAAAGTAGTTTCATTCTAAATATTAGACATTAGTTGGAAAAATATTAAGATAATTTTCTGAAGCTGATCAGATCATCAGTTGATCATCATTCAGGTCCGTCTCCGTTCAGAGCTTCTGGTTCATAAACTGGAAAAATCATCCAGAAATAAGTAAACATTTCTTCAATTAAGTTTATTTCCCTTTTACTCTTAAAATAAGATATTTAGATAAGATGCAGTTGAAATAAATAAATCTTGTTCCGTTGGCAGAATGTCTGTTTTATCTCCTCAAGAAAAAATGACCAGATTTGGATTTTTTTCCAGTTGGTTCTGAAGTTCTTTTCCTCGGAGGCAGAAGGAGGAACCGGGTCCATTAGGGCCTTTGTTGGTCGGTCAGAGGGATGGGAGGGGTGAGGTCAGAGGTCAGAGGTCAGTGTTTACTGTCCTGACTGCTGAGGGGCGGAGCCATCAGAACCAGCCTGTGGCGTTCAGATGGAGCTCTTCATGCTTAGGAGCTCATTGGTCGAGTCGTCCGGTTCTGCAGAGGTTCTGGTCGGGTTCCCATCATGCATTGCGGTTCGGCCCATTCTGGCTCCGCCCCCCAGAACCCTGCTATGCCTCCCTGGTGGTTCCACCGTCCATCCAGGCTCGCTGCCTTCAGATCAGCTGGGGGTTGTCATGGCGACGGTATGTCCCGTCTCTCCTCCCTGCGAGACAGAGGACCTTCTCCTGGCTCCATGTTTGGACTGGTTTCCATGGAGCCCAGCTGGAACGGTGCTGGGAGCTGTGGGAAGTTCCTGTTCCAGAACCTGCATGTTCCTTCAGAATCGCCTCCAGGAACCCAGACTGGACGAGTTCTGGACCAGAAGAATGAAAGGAAAAAATGCTGATGAGTTTGGAACCCGGTCCGTCGGTACCGAGTGATAAATGGAGGTTCCCAGAACCATCCATCAGGCCCGGTTGAGCTGTGGGATGATGAAGCCCGGCCCCCTGCTGCTCCCGGCTGGTTGTAGATGTCGGCTTGGTCGGTAGAATCAGAACCGCTAAGGTCTGGACCATAGAACCGGATCTTAGAAGCAAAGTTACAGCAAAGCTTCTGGTTCTGGTTCCGCCCAGACGGTCCCGGCGCCTCAGTCCGCTCCTCCTCAGCTGTTTGGGCTCCAGCCTGACTCCTCTTCCTGACAGGAAGCCACTCAGGGTGGGACACTGAGGACGACGCGTGGGGGACACGTCCTGATGGGTTCTGTGGTTCTGACCTGTTCAGTTATCTAAACTGTTGGGGTTTTTTTCCCAGTGTTTTGCTCACTTTCTGATTTGATGCCAAACTTCTGCTAACCGATCATTTCTGACTCAGCTGAATCCAGGAAGCGTCGCTCTGATTTCTGCAGCCTGGAAGGAAAAGTTCAGTTTTCCTTAAAGCAGGAATCAGGCTGACTTTGAGCTGCAGCTCAGAAACAGAAAGCAAAGATTGAAGCGTTTCATCCTGACGCTGCTGAGCTCTTAGATTCAGACCTGAGGGGTGAAGCACAGCCTTAACTCCTCCCCCTTCTGATTCTGCAGTCAGAGGAAAGATTCCAGCTCTCTGATTGGTGGAGGCCAGAGCAGGAATGTGAGGAGGAGGAGGAGGGGCGCTGTGTGTCTGAGAGCTGCATGGAAAGCATTCCTGCCTGCACAGATGATGCCATGGGGGGGGGGGGCTTTTAAAGTTCTTTTCTGATGAAGCGAAGCGTCAGGCTCTGCGATGGTCAGAACCGTCCTGCTGGGTTAATGTTCCTCAGCCTCAGTCTGCTGCTGGCGGCTCGCTGACCTCCCGTGACCTCGGCTACCAGAACCTGAACCTCTGCTTCCATGGATGCGGCGCTCTCTGCTCGCCGTCCATTAGTGCTGCTGTTGCTGTCGGCGCTTCTGGAAACCAGGCTGAACATGAAAGAATGAATGAATGAAAGAAAGAAAGAAAGAAAGAAAGAAAGAAAGAAAGAAAGAAATAAATAAATCCATTAGTGGAGTTAAGAGAGATCGCCCCCCCCCCCCCCCCCCCCCCCCCCCCCCCCCCCCCCCCACCTACACACTTTGTTGATGCTGCTATTATAGGACACATGGGGGGGGGGGGCAGAAAGGCTGCATCTCTATCAGGATGTATGATAGATGAGTTGTAGTCCTGATCCATGTCCTGGTCCTGGTCATGTTTCTGGTTTTGGTCCTGGTTCTGATCCGTGTCCTGGTCCTGGTTCTGGTCCTGGTCATGTTTCTGGTCTTGGTCCTGGTTCTGGTCCTGGTCCTGTTTCTGGTCATGGGTAGGTTCTGGTTCTGGTTCTGATCCGTGTCCTGGTCCTGGTCCTGGTTCTGGTCATGGGTAGGTTCTGGTTCTGGTTCTGATCCGTGTCCTGGTCCTGGTTCTGATCCTGGTTCTGGTCCTGGTCCTGGTCATGGTCATGGTTCTGGTCCTGGTTCTGGTCCTGATCCGTGTCCTGGTCCTGGTTTTGGTCCTGGTCATGGTCCAGGTTCTGGTTCTGATCCGTGTCCTGGTCCTGGTTCCGGTTCTGGTTTTGGTTCTGGTCCTGGTTCCGGTTCTGGTTCTGGTTCTGGTCCACCCCTTCAGGTTCCTGCCTCCATCATCCTGGATCCAGAAGCTGCTCCGTCTGCTGAGAGCGAAGCTCTGATTCAGCTCAGGTCGCTCTACATTCCTAACATCTGCTATGGTCTAATCTGGATCAGGACCCCAAGATCCAGATCCTGGATCCCAGCCTCCTCTGCAGGGAGGCTGGGATCTCCTTCAGAGAGAGGGTGAGGAGCTGGGTCATCAGGGAGAGCTGCTTCTCCTCCATCTTTATCTGACGCCTCCTGGACGTTTGGGTTTTTATGCTTTAGAACATTTGGAGTTTGTGAAGAACCTGATTGTGATGATCTGGTTTATAAAGTTCTGCAGAGCTTCAGGGACTCAGGAAAAGGTTTTAGTTCCTGGATGATGATCAGTCGATCTGATTGGGTGTCTCTGCTGTGAACTTTGACCCACAGCTTCTCAGCGCTGCATCACGCCGCCCTCACAGGAACCACGGAGCTGCTGGCGGCGCTGCTGGAGGCCGGCGCCACCGTGGACATCAAAGACACCAACGGTGAGACCCGGAATGTTCTGACTGCATGAAGCTCACTTAGAGCCCAAAGTTCTGGACAGGGCTGGTTTGAGCTGGACCTCAGGACCAGCAGAAGGACCAGCAGGACCAGTAGCGTCTGTGGGTGAGTCTGCTGCTGGTCCTGATGGTCCTGCTGATCCTGATGGTCCTGATGGTCCTGCTGGTCCTGCTGCTGGTCCTGATGGTCCTGCTGGTCCTGATGGTCCTGATGGTCCTGCTGATCCTGATGGTCCTGATGGTCCTGCTGGTCCTGATGGTCCTGCTGGTCCTGCTGCTGGTCCTGATGGTCCTGCTGCTGGTCCTGATGGTCCTGCTGGTCCTGTTGGTCCTGCTGCTGGTCCTGATGGTCCTGCTGGTCCTGATGGTCCTGATGGTCCTGCTGCTGGTCCTGATGGTCCTGCTGATCCTGATGGTCCTGATGGTCCTGCTGGTCCTGCTGGTCCTGATGGTCCTGCTGGTCCTGCTGCTGGTCCTGATGGTCCTGCTGCTGGTCCTGATGGTCCTGCTGCTGGTCCTGATGGTCCTGCTGGTCCTGTTGGTCCTGCTGCTGGTCCTGATGGTCCTGCTGGTCCTGATGGTCCTGATGGTCCTGCTGATCTTGATGGTCCTGCTGATCCTGCTGGTCCTGCTGCTGGTCCTGATGGTCCTGCTGGTCCTGCTGCTGGTCCTGATGGTCCTGCTGCTGGTCCTGATGGTCCTGCTGCTGGTCCTGATGGTCCTGCTGGTCTTGTTGGTCCTGCTGCTGGTCCTGATGGTCCTGCCGGTCCTGCTGATGGTCCTGCTGGTCCTGCTGGTCCTGTTGGTCCTGCTGCTGGTCCTGCTGCTGGTCCTGATGGTCCTGCTGGTCCTGCTGCTGGTCCTGCTGGTCCTGCTGGTCCTGCTGCTGGTCCTGCTGCTGGTCCTGATGGTCCTGCTGGTCCTGCTGCTGGTCCTGCTGGTTCTGTTGGTCCTGCTGCTGGTCCTCCTGGTGCTGCTGCTGGTCCTGCTGCTGGTCCTGCTGGTCCTGTTGGTCCTGCTGCTGGTCCTGCTGCTGGTCCTCCTGGTGCTGCTGCTGGTCCTGCTGCTGGTCCTGCTGGTACTGCTGCTGGTCCTGCTGGTCCTGCTGCTGGTCCTGCTGGTCCTGCTGGTCCTGCTGCTGGTCCTGCTGGTCCTGCTGCTGGTCCTGCTGCTGGTCCTGCTGGTCCTGCTGGTCCTGCTGCTGGTCCTGCTGGTCCTGCTGCTGGTCCTGCTGCTGGTCCTGCTGGTCCTGATGGTCCTGCTGCTGGTCCTGCTGCTGGTCCTGATGGTCCAGCTGGTCCTGCTGGTCCTGATGGTCCTAATCGTCCTGATGGTCCTGCTGGTCCTGATGGTCTTGCTGGTCCTGATGGTCCTGCTGGTCCTGATGGTCCTGCTGTCTCTGTCCTTGCAGGCATGCGGCCGCTGCACTACGCAGCCTGGCAGGGGAAGGCGGAGTCGGTTCTGGCGCTGCTGCGTTCTGGCGCGGCGGTGAACGGCGCCTCGGTGGACGGACACATCCCTCTGCACCTGGCCGCTCAGTACGGACACTACGAGGTGGTGAGTGGACCGGACCGCCGTGCTGATGTTGGTTCTGTTTCTGGTGGGTCAGCCTCTCTGTCTGTGTCGTTTCAGTCAGAGATGCTCCTGCAGCATCAGTCCAACCCATGTCTGGTCAACAGGACCAAGAAGACTCCTCTGGACCTGGCCTGCGAGTTCGGACGAGCCAAGGTGAGCGTGCCGAGTCCGACCCACCCTGCAGCAGGTTCTGGGCTTCCGGGTCGTGGTTCTGTAAGGAAGCCCAGCAGCTCTGAGGGGTTCTGGGAGAAGGTTCTTGGTTCCTCAGGTGCCTCCAGTGAAGTTTCCAGAACCTCTCAGCCTGAATCGGACCTGCAGCTGCAGCCATCAGCTGGAAGCAGGAACTTTTCTCCGTCCTCCATCTTTAAATTCTATTCAGTTTATTTCTATAGCTCCAATTCACATCATGTCATCTCAGGTCACTGTATAGATCCAGATCAACCAGATCATCCAGTCAGATTGATTCAAAGTTTTCTATCTAAGGAAAACCAGCTGATTGCATCGACTCATTGACTCTTCAGCAATCCCTCACACTAAGCATGCTTGTAGCAACAGTGGAGAGGAAAAACTCCCTTTGAACAGGAAGAAACCTCCAGCAGAACCAGGCTCAGTGTGAGCGGCCATCTGCTGAGGCCGACTGGGGTTCAAGGAGACAGAAGCAGACATAGAAAAAGAAGCATAGATACAAAAGGCAACTGTCAACCAGCTCCACAGGCGGCCCCGTCCAGGAAACACACAGCCAGGCAGACGAGCTCCGAGCCAGCTCCCATGTCAGAGGATGAAGAGAGCACATCCAGTTAGTCACAGTCAGAGAAACAGGACTACACTGGAAAACAGGCCAAGCTCCAACATCTAGAAACAAAGGTGTTGATGGCAGCAGCACAGCTGATATTTCTCTCCAGGATGGAGTCACAGCCAAACAGCTTTGAATTATTAAGGTTTTCCATCAGAACCTCGTCCAGTAGGTCTGGTCGGGTCGTGTCGTGTCGGGTTGGATCGGGTCAGTCCGTCCCTGAGCAGCATGGGGTCCCTCTGGGTTCTGTGTTTGACCCCCTGTGGTTTCCACCCTGTATCCGGGTCATGGGACCGGCTCTAACAGCAGACATGTCCTCCTCAGGTGGTCCAGCTGCTCCTGAGCAGCAACATGGTGGTGGCGCTGCTGGAGGACGAGCGGAAGGAGCCGACGGACTCGTCCTACACCACGCCGCTGCACCTGGCAGCGCGAAACGGACACAAAGACGTGATACGGTGAGCAGACCTCCAGATTAGACACTTTATGAGGGATTAAACCAGATCAGGCTGAAGGTCCTGCAGAGGAAGGTCCGGATCATTCTGATCCGTTTGTCCTGAAGGTCTCTGTCCTCAGGGTTGTCCTGCCGTCCCTCAGCTCTCCTGACAGACGGCTTTAGCTCCTCCCTCCACTTCCTCTGTAGTTTTTTTTTACAAGAAAAGGCAGGTATTATGATCCCGCTAATCCATCATTTCTATAAACAAAGCTCCTAAAATGGGAAGGTTTAGTTTCTTCTAGAATAACCCATAAACATTTTATAGTGCAGAAAACCAGAAAAAGGTTTTAAAAAAAGAAGTTTGGAGCTCAGATGTAAAATAATCTCATCCTCTCCTCCTGATCTCTGCTTGTCCCGACATCTTTTACCAGTTAGATGCTGTTTTTCCCCGTTTTCTTTACTATTTAGGCTTATTAGTTAAACTTGGATCCAGGCCTAAACTAGTGGGTCAGTGTAGATGAAAAAAAGCCAGGGCTGAAAATCGCTCCCAGTCCGACTCTGGATCCGGGTCAATTAGAACAGCAGCGTACTGATGACATCACCACATTCAAAGCTCATCTGGCAGTTAACGTCCTGTTATTAATGGTCTCTAGCTAATAATCGATTCTGACTTTTTTCATTTATTCGGGTATTAATGATAAACACAAATCAAACTTGGTCCCAGTGGAATTTCCCATTAGGAACCTACTAGCACTAAGTTGCTAACTGGTTAGCAAGATGCTTCCAACAAACCGGCCACAACCAGACATGCTTGTGAACCTTCCGCCACAACAATCCCGCCCCCTTGATAATCGACCAATCACATTCACTTTCTTCACTCCTGTAAAGTCGGCCCCCTCCCTCCTGCCATCTTCCAGCAGTGACGTCACGGTGCGGTAAGCCTAGCGCATTTCTCCCCGCTTTCCAAGCTAAATCAATGGGAACTACTAGACACATCTGCAATTAACAACAATTATTGAAGATTTCCAGAGGACTTCACCATTGAAATTCACCAGAGCTATAGTGAAACTGACAATGCCCACGTGCATGGCAGCTGGATGCTGCTCAGCATATCCATCTGGAAACCTTCCGCTGAAGTAATTTAGGTAAGGGGTGAAAAATACTGGTTAGCTGATTGGCCTATGTTGGTGATAGACGGGCCAAATAAACCAATCAGATCAACGAAGCATATGACGTACTAACAGAGCGACGACGAAGAGGAGCCAATTGATAGATCAAACTCTTGCCGAAACCAGTCGGGAGAAGAGCAAAAACATCTTTTCCTCTGAGAAAAGCCTCCAGAGCAGTGTTTTGCTCTTCTTTCTGTGAAGAAATACTCTGTAATTCCGATAAAACTTGCTCAATAGCCACGCTAACGCTAGTTTCATCGGCTGAAGCCGCCATGTTCTTTAGACTGAACTGTGGCGCTTCTTGTTGCGTCACACCTCAACCCGCCTCAAAGCCAACGCTGATCGGACGTTCGTTTGGTGAACGGCTCCAAATTTTCTTTAACGGAGAGTCTCCAGACTGATCTGCGAGTGAAACCTTGAAAGCTCGTGAGATCAGGATGGTCTCACGAGGCTAGCGAACCTGGACTTCCTGTCCTGATCTCTAACTGCACTAACCTTTAAAGCAGCGCAGCAGTGAATTCAGGCTCTGCTGTGTGACGGATCAAACACCAATATTGGTTAATTCATTTGTTTTGCTGGTTTCTGATGGAAAGAAAATATGTTCAATCTAGAACAAAAATATCTAGAGTCTGGGAAATGAGTGAAGTTCTACAGAGAGAATCTCTGTTTTCTGGACCATAAAATGATGGAACCTGTCAGGGTGTTTGCTGTTTCTCCAGCGGTCCTCCTGTCGGTGATGTGATCGTGTTTAGTTTCTCGCCGCCTCTGTTGGAGGAACAGTGTGAATAACATCCAGCAGCACAGAGGCATTTGGTTATCAGCGGGATATTTCAGCTGCTGGTTGGCGGCGTTGGGCTGCATGCAGAGGCTGCAGGTGGTTCTGGTTCAGCTCCCCCTCGCCGTGGACTCGTCTTCCTGCCTCAGACTCCCTGCAGGGATGTGAAATCGTCTCTGTGACCCAGTTTCAGTGTTTCCTCTGCCCTGTCAGGGGAAGCTCTCTGGGAGCCTCAGATGTGAAGATAACTGACAGCAGCTCTGAAGAACCAGAACAACAGAGACCCGCTGGATAGTTTCCATGTGACTGACGCAGTCCCTGCCGCTTCTAACGCATGCAGCTCTGGGAGTTTTAGGAGGAAATGAGGTCTGCGTAGAACCGCTGAATTAAAGACTACAGCGAACTACCTGCTTTAATTTGGCTTCATTGCTCTGGATGGATGAATGAAGCCCAGCTGAGGCTGTCAGGTAGCAGCGCCACCAGGTCTTCCTGGGTTCATCCACCATTGCTCTGATGTCAGGACTCTGGCTCTAAGAACACAAGCTGAGCTGGTCGGTTAGATGACGAGTTCTGATGGGTAAAATCTCAGGATCAAGGTGTAACCTGCAGCTTTCTGCTTGTTTCAGGCTGCTGCTGAAGGCCGGCATTGACATCAATAAGACCAGCAAGTCTGGAACAGCCCTGCATGAAGCGTCGCTGTATGGAAAAACCGAGGTGGTGCGGCTGCTGCTGGACGTGAGTCTGAGATCCACCCCCAATCATTCACCGCATGCAGCTTTACCTTTAACCCATAGAAAGGTGACATCAGGTGGGCTAATAGCAGGACTGCAACAGTTAGAGTCTTTAACGATCCCCCCTTTCAGAGGCATAGACAGGTATGGGGCATTGCAGGCTAACAAAGAAGCCAAACGACCCCCATTCCTAAGGGGGGACCCGTTCATCCGTTTCTATTTGCTTGTTTTCTAAACTAAAACCAGGCTTTGTTGGGCTGCTGGATAAAACCTGGAACTAAACGCTATTTCTGACATTTTGGATTGAAAAATCTTCCTGGATGGAAGAGAAACGTCTTCAAACTGGGAAACAAAGTCCAGAGGATTGTTTGAACTTTTTAAACCAGTTAGAGTCGGTAATAAAGATCAGGTGACTTTCAGGCTCTGATCTGAAATTATTTTCAGTGAATCAAAAGTCTCAGATGAAAAAATTATCAGAAAAGAAAAAGATCCAGTTCCAGATTACAGTCTGTTATATGAAGGGTGTATTCTAGATGAGACGTATTCTAGATGAGACGTATTCTAGATGAGACGTATTCTAGATGAGACGTATTCTAGATCAGACGTATTCTAGATCAGTTGTATTCTAGATCAGACGTATTCTAGATCAGTTGTATTCTAGATCAGTCGTATTCTAGATCAGACGTATTCTAGATCAGACGTATTCTAGATCAGACCACCTGTCCCTCTGGAGTCACTATATGACTCATTCTTAGTGTGACTGATGAATGTTGGGGTTTATTATCGCCTCTTCTCACTCATTCACAGCCTGAAATAAATCACTCGCTGATTTAATGAGTGAGGTAGCACTCTGTGTCCCGCTAGCTTGGCCAAACCTCAGTTAGTCTAGGCTAACTTTAGCCGTTAGCTTGGAAGACAGTAACTAAACTAATTCATAAAAGTGTTTTGATTCAAGATCGTGGATGGCCTCCCCACAGAATACAGTTTCCTAAAATCAACCTTTTCATTAGATCCTTTAGCTCCCCTGGGGTCATTTCCTTAGTTCCTGCAGCGCAGTTAGCTCAGTGCTAACGCTGCAGCTACGATTTATGGCTACTACATTGAAGCTGTTTCTGCTAATGTAGCCGATGGTATAAATTTGTTTTAGGTTGTGGAAAACATTCAGGTTAATGTTCAAATTCTAAAATATATATTAGCTTGTCTCCTTATCTAGAGGCTGAAATGGGGGCCTCGCTATTAGCTGGTGTTAGCCTAGCTTAGAAAATAACAAATATATCACTTTGAACAAAGTGTTGACATAATAAGGGATTATTTCAATTATAGTGTGTTTTAGTGATGTAGGAATTTAGTCTTTTAAAAGACAGAACTGACTTTATATCACCTAAAAACGACTCGGTGCTAGCAAGCTAACATCTAAGCAAGTATCTAAACCACTTTAACTTTATTATACTCTGTGATTGACATGACACAGCAGCACAAATTATTTTATTATTTTAGTTTTTCTTATAACAACAAAAGTGCAGCATGTCGATCATAGTCTGTCTGCCTGTTTTTAACATTAAGAGGAGAAAATAAGAAGCTAACTGAGAGTTAGCTTCTTATTTAGCAGGTTATGGTTGCGTTTCTCCGTCCAGGCTGGAGTAGACGTGAACATCAGGAACACCTACAACCAGACGGCGCTGGACATCGTCAACCAGTTCACCACGTCCCACGCCAGCAAGGACATCAAGCAGCTGCTGCGAGGTAACGGCTATGCTAACATGCTAGCAGCTAGCATGAATAAAGTGAGTCTGCGATCTAATCTGGGGACATTTCCAGCTAATAGATACAAATAAATAAATGTTATGAATATTAAACTAGGAGACGGAGACAGTTTTCATCTATTTTTACATATTTATTAATGTTTAAACAAAAACCAAGTGTGAAATCCAGGAATGCGCCTCTTCCATTTCCTAAGATAAATAATATTAATTAATCAATTGTTATTAATTAGAGCCATCTGATCATTCAGTCTCTGTCTTCCTCCCATGTGAGCAACAGTTCAGGCCAGTTTGTATCAAAGCAGTCTGTGGGAATTTCCCTCTTTTTCTATTCCATAAAACAAAAATGAAACTTTTATAGAAATGTACAAATTAAAAAACATATATTTCTTTTCTACATAATGATAGCTATAAAATAAAAGTCCTCCAGTTGTTTCTACTGCTTCCTGGTCAGCTGCAGAGCTTTGGGTCGCCTCCTGCAGCCTGGATTATAATCTGTGTCACTATTAAAAAAGTTACTTTAGATTTTTATATTCAGATTAAATTACATCTATTAAAACACATCTATAAATGTGAATTATTCTCCTGAGCAGCTTGAAGCAGACACACCAAATATACGTGTCTTATTTTATTACACGTAAAGATGAATGAAAAATAATCTCTCAGGGCATAAAAATAATCTGTCCTTTAAAAAAGTTATACTGAAACCTAACAGGAATATATTTTATTAATCCTAAACCTATTTTCAAGCTGTTATTATTGTCATAGGATGTAAATGTAAAGATTATATGATCCTATTTATCGGGGACTGTCCCTGGAATCGGGGCAGCTGGTCACCGTTAGCATGACGACGCGCCGCCCTGCAGAGAAACGCTCTAAATGTTCTGAAGGCTGCAGATCAACGGTCTCCGCTCAGGTTCTTGGCTTCTCTGTGGATCTCTGGACTCCTGGACCAGGTCCAGACTGATGGTGACCCATTGGGTTTGGAGCTGGTCCCAGTCTGGTGGCTCCTGTTTCTCCTCCTGCTGTTTAAGATCTACCGGTTCTCCTTCGGTGGAGGTAAGGAAGAAGGTCCTGATCCACCATCCACCCATCAGCTGCTCCTCCTGATGCCGTGTTTTCCAAATGGAACCAAACCCCATCTGGACCAGGATGTCTTTTCTTCTCCAGATCTTCCAGGAGGTTTCCCTCCAGCCTTGGAGTAAAGTCCATGTTGGACATCAGTGTTCTTCAGCAGACCTTCAGGTGGTTCTTCTTATTTTCCAGAGCTCCTCAACATGCCCAGCTGTTTCTAGGGCTGAGCAAGCTCTGCACCGGTGGAAGAGAACCTTCCTGAAAATGAGTCAGCTAACGCCACGACTGGAGGAATCTGGATCACAGCAGAACCGTTTGGACGTTCTGAAGGATCCTCAGAGAACCAGAAGCTGCTGTGGAACCTCTCAGCTGTTTCTGAGTGTCCTGCAGACGGGTCCAGAACCTGGTCTACTGGTTCTGCTGGGTCTGCTGGTTCTGCAGGCTGCGGTCGGTGGGTTGAGGGCCTGATCTGAGGCTCTGCCTGCTGCTCTGAGCAGCAGCAGCGTTAGAAGCTCCAGAGGGAACGCTCTGAGCTGCTAACGAGCGATTTCACACGTTCCTCCTTGCCGTGCACGCTCCGCCGCCACATGCTCTGGATCCATTATTGATGAGCCTGGTTAGCAGGAGGTTTTCCTGGGAGGGAGGAGTCAGGAGCTGATTGCAGCTTCTATTTCATCCCTTTAAAGATCTCAGGCTCTGATCTAGATGCTCTGGTTCTCTGTTAGCTCAAACCCGGTGAGAGCAGAGGCAAAGTCCTCGCTGTTTGGATCCGATGGGTTTAAAGGAATAGGACACCCAAAACATGATTAGCCTTCATTTTCTACTCACCCCCATGCTGAACAACACTCTGGAGTACTTTTTTGATATCTCAAATGCATCTGGAGATCTGGGAGGCTTCTTGCTGTTTGCTGACATTCAAATAATGGAGGTCTATGGTGACCGAGACAGAAAGGTCCATAAAAGTCCACAAAAAACGTGTCAATATTCCTCCATACTGCTCGTCCAATGTATTCCAAGTGTCCTGAGTGGGTATCTACTGTTTATGCTCTAAAAACATTCTAAATGACTTCGTTTCGAGTAAATTCTGGACGCTACCCACTCAGGACACTTGGAATACATTGGACGAGCAGTATGGAGGAATATTGACACGTTTTTGTGGACTTTTATGGACCTTTCTGCCTCGGGCGCCATAGACCTCCATTATTTGAATGTCAGCAGAGAGCAAGAAGCCTCCCAGATCTCCAGATGCATTTGAGATATCAAAAAAGTGCTCCAGAGTGTTGTTCAGCATGGGGGTGAGTAGAAAATGAAGGCTAATCATGTTTTGGGTGTACTATTCCTTTAAGCTTCTGATGGTCCACATAGCGCCCCCTGCAGGCTCCTTCAGCTCACTGTCTCTGGTTCCTCCTCAGATGCCACCGGAATCCTGCAGGTCAGAGCTCTGAAGGACCACTGGAACCTCCACGACCCCACAGCCCTGAACATCCGGGCCGGAGATGTGATCATGGTGAGCCGTCCAACCGGCATCCAACTGTCATCCAACCGTCATCCATCCTTCCATGGTCCATCCATCCATCCATCATCCATCCATCATCCATCCATCATCCATCCATCCATCCATCCATCCATCATCCATCCATCCATCATCCATCCATCATCCATCCATCCATCATCCATCCATCCATCATCCATCCATCATCCATCATCCAACCATCATCATCCATCCATCATCCATCCAATCATCATCTATCCATCCATCCATCATCCATCATCCATCCATCCATCAGCCATCCATCCATCCATCATCCATCCATCATCCATCCATCCATCCATCCATCATCCATCCATCCATCCATCATCCATCCATCATCCATCATCCAACCATCATCATCCATCCATCATCCATCCATCCATCCATCATCCATCCATCCATCAGCCATCCATCCATTCATCATCCATCCATCCATCCATCCATCATCCATCCATCCATCAGCCATCCATCCATTCATCATCCATCCATCCATCCATCCATCCATCCATCCATCCATCCATCCATCATCCATCCATCCATCCATTATCCATCCATCATCCATCATCCATCCATCATCCATCCATCCATCCATTATCCATCCATCATCCATCCATCCATCCATCATCCATCCATCCATCATCCATCCATCATCCATCCATCCATCCATTATCCATCCATCATCCATCCATCCATCCATCATCCATCCATCCATCATCCATCCATCCATCCATCATCCATCCATCATCCATCCATCATCCAACCATCATCATCCATCCATCATCCATCATCCATCCATCCATCCATCCATCATCTATCCATCCATCCATCATCCATCCATCCATCCATCATCCATCCATCATCCATCCATCCATCCATCCATCCATCCATCAGCCATCCATCCATCCATCATCCATCCATCCATCCATCAGCCATCCATCCATCCATCATCCATCCATCCATCCATCCATCATCCAACCATCCATCCATCCATCCATCATCCAACCATCCATCCATCATCCATCCATCCATCCATCAGCCATCCATCCATCATCCATCCATCCATCAGCCATCCATCCATCCATCATCCATCCATCATCCATCTATCCATCCATCCATCATCCATCCATCCATCCATCAGCCATCCATCTATCCATCATCCATCCATCATCCATCCATCATCCATCATCCATCCATCCATCCATCAGCCATCCATCCATCAATCCATCCATCCATCATCCATCATCCATCCATCATCCATCCATCATCCATCCATCCATCCATCCATCATCCAACCATCATCATCCATCCATCATCCATCCATCCATCCATCCATCCATCCATCATCTATCCATCCATCCATCATCCATCATCCATCCATCCATCCATCAGCCATCCATCCATCCATCATCCATCCATCATCCATCCATCCATCCATCCATCCATCCATCCATCATCCATCCATCCATCCATCATCCATCCATCATCCATCATCCAACCATCATCATCCATCCATCATCCATCCATCCATCATCCATCCATCCATCATCCATCCATCCATCAGCCATCCATCCATCCATCATCCATCCATCCATCCATCCATCCATCCATCATCCATCCATCCATCCATCATCCACCCATCATCCATCCATCCATCCATCCATCCATCATCCATCCATCCATCATCCATCCATCCATCCATCATCCATCCATCATCTCTTATCCATCCATCCATCATCCATCCATCCATCCATCCATCATCCAACCGTCATCCAACCATCATCATCCATCATCCATCCATCGTCCACCCATCCAACCATCATCCATCCATCATCCAACCGTCATCCATCATCCGTCCATCATCCATCCATCATCCAACCATCCATCCATCCATCCATCATCCATCCATCCATCATCCATCCATCCATCATCCAACCGTCATCCATCATCCATCCATCATCCGTCCATCATCCATCCATCATCCAACCATCCATCCATCCATCCATCATCCATCCATCCATCATCCAACCGTCATCCATCATCCGTCCATCATCCATCCATCATCCAACCATCCATCCATCCATCATCCATCCATCCATCATCCATCCATCCATCATCCAACCGTCATCCATCATCCATCCATCATCCGTCCATCATCCATCCATCATCCAACCATCCATCCATCCATCCATCATCCATCCATCATCCAACCGTCATCCATCATCCATCCATCATCCGTCCATCATCCATCCATCCATCATCCAACCGTCATCCATCATCCATCCATCATCCGTCCATCATCCATCCATCATCCAACCATCCATCCATCCATCCATCATCCATCCATCATCCATCCATCCATCCAACCATCATCATCCATCCATCCATCATCCATCCATCCATCCATCATCATCCATCCATCCATCATCCATCCATCCAACCATCATCATCCATCCATCCATCCATCCATCCATCATCCAACCGTCATCCAACCATCATCATCCATCATCCAACCATCCATCCATCCATCATCCATCCATCATCATCCATCATCCATCCATCATCCATCCATCCATCCAACCATCATCATCCATCATCCAACCATCCATCCATCATCCATCCATCATCATCCATCATCATCCATCATCCAACCATCCATCCATCCATCATCCATCCATCATCCATCATCCAACCATCATCATCCATCCATCCATCCATCATCCATCCATCCATCCATCATCATCCATCCATCCATCATCCATCCATCCAACCATCATCATCCATCCATCCATCCATCCATCCATCCATCATCCAACCGTCATCCAACCATCATCATCCATCATCCAACCATCCATCCATCCATCCATCATCCATCCATCATCATCCATCATCCATCCATCATCCATCCATCCATCCAACCATCATCATCCATCCATCCATCCATCCATCCATCCATCCATCCATCCATCCATCCATCGATCCATCCATCCATCCATCATCATCCATCCATCATCCATCCATCATCCATCCATCCAACCATCATCATCCATCCATCCATCCATCCATCCATCCATCATCCAACCGTCATCCAACCATCATCATCCATCATCCAACCATCCATCCATCCATCCATCATCCATCCATCATCATCCATCATCCATCCATCATCCATCCATCCATCCAACCATCATCATCCATCATCCATCCATCCATCCATCCATCCATCCATCCATCCATCCATCCATCCATCCATCCATCCATCCATGCTCTGTACCGCCCCCTGCAGGTGTTGGAGCAGCACCTGGATGGACGCTGGAAGGGCCACATCCACGACAGCCAGAGGGGGACGGACAGAGTGGGCTTCTTCCCTCCGTCCATCGTGGAGGTGATCAGCAGGAGGAACGGTCAGTCACACGCTGTCTGGGAATTCTATTATTGTATTTCTATTTTCCCTGGATTAAACAGAACATAGAAACAGAGAGGAATCTGGTAAATCTGAAATCCGTTCTGCGATTTGGGATGCTATAATTTAATATTGTATTATTTTTCAGATTTATTCTGGATTAATCTGATTTAGACCTAAACTTAGACAGATTTTACTTTTTCATTTTGTTCACACACGTGTAAACAAAAAAAATGTTGTTAAGTAAAGCATTTGTTTAAGTGCAGCCTTGATAAAGGTAAGCAGCTGTCTATTAATCTGGATTCTTTTCTCAAATTTATCCTGGATTAATCTGAATTTTTTTTGTTTTGTTAGATTTATCTGGGATTAATCTGGATTCAGGTTTAGTCTCAGTTTTATCCTGGATTAATCTGGATTCAGGTTTAGTCTCAGTTTTATCTGGGATTAATCTGGATTTAGGCTTAGTCTCAATTTTATCCTGGATTAATCTGGATTCAGGTTTAGTCTGAGTTTTATCCTGGATTAATCTGGATTCAGGTTTAGTCTCAGTTTTATCCTGGATTAATCTGGATTCAGGTTTAGTCTCATTTGTCCCATTTTTCTGTTCTGTTCGGTTGTTATTTTTCGGTATTAAACCGGATTATTAATCCAGGTCTTCTGTCCCTGCCATGTCCAGCTGGAGTTTTGTGTTCAGTTAGTGTTTATTTTAGAGCCCAGTTTGGTTTAGGTTCTGGGAACTAACGCCTCGATGGAACCGTTAAATGTTATGATGATAAAACCTCAGAAGGTCTTCTCTCAGCTCTACTGGTTGGAAAAAGGTTTATTGGTTTTGGACCAACTGGGCTCAGTGGTTCTGGACGTCTCCCTGTGTCTCTCTGCTCAGTCCGTCTCTCTCAGGAACTAATCCAGCTGCTTCGGTACCATCCCATGCTCCTCCCTCCTCCTGCTGCCTCCATCACTCCATCCAGATATTGACCACTGACCTCTCACTCTAACCACCAGCTTGATAACCTGCCCTTCCTCCTCCTCCTCCTCCTCCTCTCGCCCTCTAGGGGGCACCCTCTCCCGGCACGCCTCTCTGCCCACCCAGCGCCAGCAGCTCCTACCTAAAGCCCCCCTCTCCTCCAGCCTAAGCTCCGCCCCCCACACCGACGACTCCTACAGTCTGTATGCCCCGCCCAGCCACGTGGTGCTACCGCTGTCCAACGGCCTGGCTACCTGCACAGGTACGGCACACACTGCAGACACACACAGGTGCACAACCAGAACCAGACGGTGCGGTTAGGCTAGAGCTCAACCTGGGCTCGGTTCTGGAATCGTTCTTTTAAGGCGGACCTTTAGCGGGCGCCCTGAGACCTCTGACATCACCGTAGGCGATCCACGGTCTCCGAGTGACGGGAACGCCAACAGTGAGAGTTCTCCTTATCCGGACCGGTTCTGATCCGATCAGTTTGGATTTTCTGAGACGTTTTAAGTCTTTGGTTTCTTAGATTCTTCCTCTTTGATTCCCACTGAAACGTCCCGATCAGAAGAGTCTGTTCCCTGTGTGGTTCCTCTCAGTCCCAAACAGAACCTGGTCCATCTTTGTCTCTGATAGGTTTGTCTTCCAGCCTCCTGTCTCAGCCTGGGTGTCCCTTTGAGGACATCTGGGTCCTCAGGGACTCGCACCACGGTAAGGCTTAGTCCGCATCTAGAGCGTCTGCCCTAAAGCTGCTGAGCTTCAGACCCGTCGCACCCAGACCACCAGAGACCCGGCTGTCCCTCCTTAGATTGGCTCCAATCTGAACTTCCAACCTTTAAGGATCAACTTTAGTTCCAACAAGCCGCTTTATTGCAAAAAGATTTATTTTCACGGTAAAAAAATACATTAAACTACTGTGAGATGTTTAGTTTTAATACATGGCTTAAAAATATTGTAATGTTGTCTATGCAGCAATGCATTCTGGGTAAATGATCAGAAGAGGTGATAAAGATGAGGAGGACCAAATACAGGAAGAAGTGAAGTTTGTCGCTTGCTTGTTGCTGACCGATCCGTCCTGCAGAATAACGTCCGATCAGGCAGTACTTCCTTTTTCTTACCTGTGGGGTGGGTGGGGGGGTTCCTTTTCAGTAGTTTTGTAGTTGCATAAATATCGCATATTCTAAAGACCATGACGTCACGCAATACGGCGGAGGGAATGGAAAGACAAATCTTCAATATTTTTTATATGATATAGTTTAGCATTCCTAAATGTTTTAAGTATATAAATAAGTATTTTCAGTTCCGTTATTACCTAGTTTTTGGCGACTCGATCTTAATATTCTGTTCCTGCATGTGCGGGACGGATCGTGCTAGCGGTATGGATCGTGCTAGCGGGACGGATCGTGCTAGCGGGACGTGCTAGCGGGACGTGCTAGCGGGACGGATCGTGCTAGCGGGACGGATGGTGCTTCTGGGACGGATGGTGCTTCTGGGACGGATCGTGCTAGCGGGACGGATCGTGCTAAAGGGACAGATCGTGCTACTGGGACGGATCGTGCTAGCGGGACGGATCGTGCTAGCGGGACGGATCGTGCTAGCGGGACGGATCGTGCTAGCGGGACGGATCGGGTAGTGACTCTGCTGCTAGGACATGCTAACCCAGATAGAGAGCTGTGAGTTAGGAAGCTGCGGCATTTCTTGCAAGAAAAAAGGTTCACATTTATTTAATGTCCTCAGATGGAGAGATAGAGCTCTGACTGAGGAAACCTCAGTACATTTATACCTTACAATTTCCCAAAACACACACTCCCCCCCCCCCCAGGGGAACCAACCCACCTCCTGCTTAAAGAACTTTCTCACAGACAGAGTTCATCAAAGCCGTTCCCTGTGAGGTTAATCTATCTCCCACTGGTCAGATGGATGTTCTCCTCTTCATGCCATGAAGGAGGCTGTGACTCATTCTTATCTCTCTTGACCTTCGTTTGGAGCCGTGAGGCTAAGAACAGACGTACGTCAACATGTTTTACTCCACAGAGCTATGCTAAAAGAGGCTGTTAGCGGTTAGCATCGGGGGGGGGGACCCGTTCATCCGTTTCCATTTGCATGTTTTCTAAACTAAAACCAGGCTTTGTTGGGCTGCTGGATTAAACCTGTTTGGTTTAGTTAGCATTAGCCGACCTGGCAGCTGACCAGCAAACAGTACAAAATGAGAGCTATGGATCTGGTGTGCGCCACTTTCTGGCTCTTAGGAGCTAACCACGTAGCATTGACCTTTAAACGTAAAGTTTCTCTCCACCTTCTCCAGATGATTTCCTCCTAGAATCTCCGGGTTTGTGACTTCAAAGAAAAATCAAAGTTTAAAGCTTTTAGTTGAAAACTTAAAACCTGATTGTATTTGGAGTCACTGCTTCAGATCCAGACCAGTTTTTCTTGGCGTCTGTGGTGGTTAACCGATCAGACCCGGTAACTTCGATCAAGGTGTTCCGCTAGGTCCGGTTCTGGGACCGTTTCAGTTAGGGTTCAGCTATCGGCCCAGAAGCTCCTGGTGAGGGCAAACGCTGGTCGTCTCGGTGTGTCGGGTCCAAAACGCGCTGCTGCACGCTAAAATGGAGCCCCATGCTAACAGCAATCCCTCACTGCTGCCACAGGGGGGCGACAGCAGGTCGTCCTGAGAAGTAGCTGCTGCATGTTGATCTAAAAGGTCAGGAAGGAAGTGGAGCGGTTCTAGAGGATGAAGGAGGAGCTGAGACCTTCAGAGAGCCTGAAGAACCGCCTCCTCTTTAGAAGGTTCTGGCTGCTTGCATCCCTGCAGCCGCGCTCCCTGCATCTCCTGGTCACCAGCATCGCAGGCTTCTTTAGACTGAGACCCCTCCCCAGCTGACGCCGGCCCGGTCCGCCAACCCCGCCCTCTGCAGGCGCTGACTGTTTTTTTTTGTGCTTCCAGCGGGAGACAGGAACAGCGTGGGCAGCACCGGCAGCGTGGGCAGCACCCGCAGCGCCGGCAGCGGACAGAGCACCGAGAGCAGCGGAGCCCCCAACGGACACCAGCAGAACACCGGTCACCATGACAACAAGGTAGAACCCGACCGTCTGTCCTCACTGAGACCACCGGACCGGAGCAGGTCCAGGTCTAATGATAGAAACAGTAAAGACAGGCAGGTTCTGTTGGACCAGTTTGGGTCGGACGGATCAGGTTTGGATCCAGGATCCGTTTGATGTTTAAACCGGCCTGTTAGCTGCAGCAGCGCGTTAGAGGCGAGCCCAGAGCTGCAGCATAAAGATCATCTGACTGATGGAACCGAGGGAATAAGTTAGATATTTGAAAAGAACTTCAGTTCCTGTGATCTTCAGCTGAACTCTGTCCTTTATTCCTTTGCAGCTGGCGCCCCCTGCTGCTGAAGCAGGGCAGTCTGCAGACCAGATCCAACAGGCCGACAGTCCTGCAGGTACGGTTCTTCCCTCCACCTCAGAACCTCCCATCCTGTCAGGCAGCCCTGCGCTGACTGGGTGCTGAGTTCAGGAGTTGTGCTCCCGTCCTCCAGGTGGCGCCGCTCGGAGACAGACGGTGATGGTGCAGCGTCCTGCAGAGCCCAGCTTCACGCAGCAGTTTGTTCGTCCGCAGCAGCTCCTGGAGGGGAAGGTAGACGGATCTGATGCTTTCTGTCCACGTTGCGTTTCACTGGTTTCCTTCTGCAGGACCTGGAGGTCCGTCAGCCTCCCAGAGCACAGGTCCATCCGGACCGCTCTGGTTCTGACCCAGTTCTGGATCCCTGAGGAAATCTGAAGCAAATGTTTTCTGTTTTAAATAAATTTCAGATGTTTGATTGATTTAGTTCAGTTCGAATGTCATTTAAGAACATCCTGATGGACTCTTGATTGAGCCTCAGATACCTGCTGAGTGTTTGTGTCTGGACGCAGATGGCGGCGCCACTGTCTGACCCGCTCCCTGTGTTGCTCTGTCAGGATGCGGACGCCATCTATCAGTGGCTCAGTGAGTTCCAGCTGCAGCAGTACACCGAGAACTTCCTGAACGCCGGATACGACGTGCCGACCGTCAGCAGGATGACTCCCGAGGTGAGTGAACTCCTGTAGAACTAACGGCGAGGCTAAAAAGGCTGGACCCGGTTAAAACCCGGTACAAATGGCCACCAATGATGTGTTTCCTGTTCAGGATCTGACCGCCATCGGAGTCACCAAACCAGGACACCGCAAGAAGATCTCCATGGAGATCGGCAACCTGAACATCCCAGAGTGGCTGCCGGAGTACATCCCGGTAAGACATGGCGCTTTCAGCAGGCCGTGGATGTTCTGAATGTGTTCTGACCCGGTTTGTCTCCTTGCAGTCGGACCTCGGAGAGTGGCTCAGCGCCATCGGCCTCCCGCAGTACCACAAAAAACTCTCTGAAAATGGCTATGACTCCATCAGCATCGTCAAAGACCTGACATGGGAGGACCTGCAGGAGATCGGGATCACCAAGCTGGGTGAGCGTGGGTCCGACCCTCCCGGTGACGGCCATGTTACCGAGAAACCCGTCTGATGGTTCCCTTCCCGCTGCAGGCCACCAGAAGAAGCTGATGTTGGCTGTGAAGAAGCTGTGCGACATCCACAGGGCCATCCTCAACGCCGAGTCCGGCCCCGGAACGCTTCGGCGTAGAGCGCCCGGGGGCCTCCACCTGGTGACCATCGACTCTCCTGATGCCAGCAGTGAATGTTCTTCTCCTCACACTCCCATGATGGTGACCTTTCAGGACAGCGAACTCAGCGCAGAGCTTCAAACCGCTATGTCGAGTCACTACGGCGGCTGCGAGGAAGGTTTGGCCATCAAGAACGCTGTGGGGATGTCCCGCAGCCAGGAGAGCATCGACGCTCGGTCCAGAGGTTCTGGCCGCTCCCAGGAGCCTCCCACCGCCTCCATCAACCCTCACAGCTGGTCCCAGGAGAGCCTTGAAGGAAGCCCAGCCCGGGAGAGGAACCTGCCTGAAGGCTGGGACCCGAGGCCGCTGCAGCACCAGCCGCTGCCCAAACAGGTTCCTCTGGGAACGGCCACAGTCTTCAAGTACCCCGCCATCCCGGCCAAACCCAGACTGCCTGGATCCCGTAATAACTCTCCTCATGGCTCCCCCGCCCTGAAAGGTTTCAACTACCTGCACTCCGAGTGCGGCTCCACCGACCTGAACCGACCCGAACATCTCAGGACCCTGACCCCGCCCCACAGGCGCCCTCAGAGCAAGACCCGCTACGCCCTGTCAGACGGGGAGCCGGACGAGGACGACGACGACCTTGCCGTGCCTCGGGGAAGCGTTCCTTCCTATGCCACTCTGACCCGGAAGCCCGGCCGCAGCCAGCTGGCCCGCTTACAGTCCAACACGGACAAGAACAGCGGCGTGGGCCGCAGTCAGTCGTTTGCCGTGCGAGCTCGTAAAAAAGGTCCGCCCCCTCCGCCGCCGAAGAGACTGAGCTCAGTGAGCAGCACCACCAGCAGCGAGCTGAGCGACAGCAGCCCCACCTCCTCCTCTGGGGGCGTGGTCACCGACAGCCCGGGAAGCGTCCGCAGCATCGCGGCGTCTCTGCAGGGCAGCCCAGGCCTCAGACTGAGAGCGGAGGCCTCAGAGGCCGCAGAGGTGAGGAGGAAAGTTCAGAGCGTTTCCAGTCAAACCAGCAGCAGCGCGGCGGGCGACCCAGGGCTGAAATCCGATTCGGAGGAAGAAGAACCAAAGGATGGTGGACTGGATGGATCTTCGTCACCTCAGAACAGTTCCAGCGAGTGCATTCCCTTCGCTGAGGAGGGCAACCTGACCATCAAACAGAGACCCAAGGCTCCAGGCCCCCCCAGGGCTGAGGCCGTACTGGAACCACCAGACAAACCAGCAGCCAAGACTCTGGAGGTCCCCGAGTTCAACCTGAAAGAGTCCGACACAGTGAAGAGGCGCCACAAACCCAAAGACAAGGAGCAGGGCGAAGGCTCCCCCGTCAGGTCAGGAGCCGAAGCATCGGGGTCGGAGTCTGGGGGCAGCAGACCTCCGTCCAGGAACCAGGACCGGGTGGACCCCAGAACCAGCGAGAGGTCCAGCAGTCCAGCTGCAGGTTCTCCTGTTAAACCTTCTGTCTCAGCAAAACCTGCCGTCACCCCAAAACCTGTTCGCCACAGTCTGCTGGCGTCTCACGGTGAGACTCACACTCAGCTCTCCTGAAACGCAGATTTCACAGGGGGGGGTTAGAGTAAATGTTCTGGTTCAGGGGTGGACTAGTCCAGTTCCAGGGGGCCGGTATCCTTCAGGAGTTATCTCCTCAGTCGGTTCCTCATCAATCATCTAATGACTGCATCCAGGTGAGGAACCAAAGCCAGATCTAGAAGCTGTAGGGTAGCCGCCCCCCAGGAACTGGACTAGTCCACCCCTGTTCCTCTCTGAAAAGGTTCTGGCTCAGACCCGGGATGTAGAACCTGGACCTGTGGTGGTATTTAGCGGGTGACTTGGAGATGGCCTTTGGACTATCTCCTCTGAACTTTAAGCTGAGGCCTGACCTGTCCCACCTGAGACCTGACCTGTCCCAGCTTAGACCTGACCTGTCCCACCTGAGACCTGTCCCAGCTTAGACCTGACCTGTCCCACCTGAGACCTGACCTGTCCCAGCTAAGACCTGACCTGTCCCACCTGAGACCTGTCCCAGCTTAGACCTGACCTGTCCCAGCTAAGACCTGACCTGTCCCAGCTAAGACCTGACCTGTCCCAGCTGAGACCTGGCCTGTCCCAGCTTAGACCTGACCTGTCCCAGCCGAGGCCTGACCTGTCCCAGCTGAGACCTGGCCTGTCCCAGCTTAGACCTGACCTGTCCCAGCTGAGACCTGGCCTGTCCCAGCTGAGACCTGGCCTGTCCCAGCTGAGACCTGGCCTGTCCCAGCTTAGACCTGACCTGTCCCAGCTGAGACCTGACCTGTCCCAGCTGAGACCTGGCCTGTCCCAGCTTAGACCTGACCTGTCCCAGCTGAGACCTGGCCTGTCCAAGCTTAGACCTGACCTGTCCCAGCTGAGACCTGACCTGTCCCAGCTGAGACCTGACCTGTCCCAGCTTAGACCTGACCTGTCCCAGCTGAGACCTGACCTGTCCCAGCTGAGGCCTGACCTGTCCCAGCTGAGACCTGGCCTGTCCCAGCTGAGACCTGACCTGTCCCAGTTTAGACCTGACCTGTCCCAGCTGAGACCTGACCTGTCCCAGCTGAGACCTGACCTGTCCCAGCTTAGACCTGACCTGTCCCAGCTGAGACCTGACCTGTCCCAGTTTAGACCTGACCTGTCCCAGTTTAGACCTGACCTGTCCCAGCTGAGACCTGACCTGTCCCAGCTCAGACCTGACCTGTCCCAGTTTAGACCTGACCTGTCCCAGCTGAGACCTGACCTGTCCCAGCTTAGACCTGACCTGTCCCAGCTGAGACCTGACCTGTCCCAGTTTAGACCTGACCTGTCCCAGTTTAGACCTGACCTGTCCCAGTTTAGACCTGACCTGTCCCAGCTGAGACCTGACCTGTCCCAGCTTAGACCTGACCTGTCCCAGTTTAGACCTGACCTGTCCCAGCTGAGACCTGACCTGTCCCAGCTGAGACCTGGCCTGTCCAAGCTTAGACCTGACCTGTCCCAGCTTAGACCTGACCTGTCCCAGCTGAGACCTGACCTGTCCCAGCTTAGACCTGACCTGTCCCAGCTGAGACCTGACCTGTCCCAGTTTAGACCTGACCTGTCCCAGCTTAGACCTGACCTGTACCAGTTTAGACCTGACCTGTCCCAGCTGAGGCCTGACCTGTCCCAGCTGAGACCTGACCTGTCCTAGTTTAGACCTGACCTGTCCCAGCTGAGACCTGACCTGTCCCAGCTGAGGCCTGACCTGTCCCAGCTGAGGCCTGACCTGTCCCAACTGAGACCTGACCTGTCCCAGCTTAGACCTGACCTGTCCCAGCTGAGACCTGACCTGTCCCAGTTTAGACCTGACCTGTCCCAGCTGAGACCTGACCTGTCCCAGCTGAGACCTGACCTGTCCCAGCTGAGACCTGACCGGTCCCAGCTGAGACCTGACCTGTCCCAGCTTAGACCTGACCTGTCCCAGCTTAGACCTGACCTGTCCCAGTTTAGACCTGACCTGTCCCAGCTGAGACCTGACCTGTCCCAGCTGAGACCTGACCTGTCCCAGCTTAGACCTGACCTGTCCCAGCTGAGACCTGACCTGTCCCAGCTGAGGCCTGACCTGTCCCAGCTGAGACCTGGCCTGTCCCAGCTGAGACCTGGCCTGTCCCAGCTGAGACCTGACCTGTCCCAGTTTAGACCTGACCTGTCCCAGTTTAGACCTGACCTGTCCCAGCTGAGACCTGACCTGTCCCAGCTGAGACCTGACCTGTCCCAGCTGAGACCTGACCTGTCCCAGTTTAGACCTGACCTGTCCCAGTTTAGACCTGACCTGTCCCAGCTGAGACCTGACCTGTTCCAGCTGAGACCTGACCTGTCCCAGCTGAGGCCTGACCTGTCCCAGCTGAGACCTGACCTGTCCCAGCTTAGACCTGACCTGTCCCAGCTGAGACCTGACCTGTCCCAGTTTAGACCTGACCTGTCCCAGCTGAGACCTGACCTGTCCCAGCTGAGACCTGACCTGTCCCAGCTGAGACCTGACCTGTCCCAGCTGAGACCTGACCTGTCCCAGCTGAGACCTGACCTGTCCCAGCTTAGACCTGACCTGTCCCAGCTTAGACCTGACCTGTCCCAGTTTAGACCTGACCGGTCCCAGCTGAGACCTGACCTGTCCCAGCTTAGACCTGACCTGTCCCAGCTTAGACCTGACCTGTCCCAGCTTAGACCTGACCTGTCCCAGTTGAGACCTGACCTGTCCCAGCTTAGACCTGACCGGTCCCAGCTGAGACCTGACCTGTCCCAGCTTAGACCTGACCTGTCCCAGCTTAGACCTGACCTGTCCCAGTTTAGACCTGACCGGTCCCAGCTGAGACCTGACCTGTCCCAGCTTAGACCTGACCTGTCCCAGCTTAGACCTGACCTGTCCCAGCTTAGACCTGACCTGTCCCAGTTGAGACCTGACCTGTCCCAGCTTAGACCTGACCGGTCCCAGCTGAGACCTGACCTGTCCCAGCTGAGACCTGACCTGTCCCAGTTTAGACCTGACATTTGTAAGTCTAAGCTGCCATTTCATTTAAACCTTGAACTTTAGACTCGATATCTACCAAACCTGAGTTTGACCGTCTGGAACATTTTGAGATTATCTTAAGTTGATCTAGAAATGTCTATGAAGTTTCCTTAGGTGGAACTGACTCATAGAGGGTCTGTGGTCCTCCTGGTTGAAGCTTTAATGCTGCAGAGACTCGTTAGTCTCGCCCAGACTTGGTCGTCTTGGTCTGGACTCTCTGGTCTCTACCTGATTCCTCTCCATCTTTTAACTCGTTCTGACTCCTGTTTTCCTCAGCAGGACGTTCCTCTCCCACGTTGACCATCAGTGTGGTCCAAAGCGTGGCCTTCTCCTCCTCAGCCCCCCAGGGGCCCCCGGCCCCTCACAGCCCCTCTTTGGCTGCTAGGAGACATCAGGCTCTTCCTTTAGGACCCAGTCTCACACCTGAGTCTTCTAGTGAGACGGAGGAGGTCCAGCAGAGACTGGACCAGACCAGCACCTCTCTTGCTGCGGCGTTGGAAGCCGTAGAGACAAAGCTGATCCAGGACGGCGGTTCCGGGGGGTGAATATTCTATATTTATATATCTATATATATCATTGGCTGGATCTTTGTCCTGTTGTTTTAATGTTGTTTCACCAGCAGGGGGAGCACTGTGAGGTCAGCAGGGACCATCCTGGACGACATCGGGAACATGTTCGACGACCTGGCTGACCAGCTGGACGCCATGTTGGATTAAAGAAACCAGGCTCCAGTCAGACTCAGACAGCAGCGCCTGAACGTGGCTGCCGCCGCTAATGGCGTCCAGCCGCTCGTGGCGTCCAGCCCGCCGCGTCGCTGAGGAGAAACTTTAACGGATTTAAACATTTATTTTCTGTTACCTGCTTCCAGAAAACATCACCTGATCAGCTCCTCAGCAGAGAGACTGGCTCCATCTAGTGGCCAAGGCTGGTGCTGCTTCAACACGGACAGCTGGTTTTGGTTCTGCTGCTCTCCATACCTCATTCTCCTGGTTCTGGTTCTGGTTCCTGATCAGTATTTCTTCGCCCTCTAACTTCTCCTTCATGAATGAACTCTTTATGAATGCGTCAGAACTCTGACACTGACCCAGTCGAGCCCATGAGACCATTAACCGTCCAGACGGTCCAATGGAGCCGCCTGGAGCCACCGAGCAGAACCTGAAGGTTCCTGGAACCAAGCGGTTGGTTCTGGTCCTGGTTTCCAGCTTCCTGTGGGTCAAACAGTCCTTCAGAACTTTATTCAGAGCCAAACTGAAGCAGCCCGGTACCATTCGACCCAACTGTAGCTCTGATGACTGGTTCTGATCGGCCATCAGGCCCAGGAGGACATCAGGAGTCTGGAGTCCTCTGTGGAGAGGTCCGGTTCTGCTGGATGAACACGAACCGGGTCGGTCTACCCTCCTGTGGCACTGATGGACGCGAGGCTGAACCCAGCTGGTTAAGGCTCGGTTTGGACCCGTTTCATTTCCTGACATCAGTGTTCTGGATCTGACCCGGATTGGGAACAGAACCGGGCTCCTTAGAACATGGTTCTACTAACTCCTCTCTGACCCAGTTGGTATTAACCGGGTCGTTTAGCAGAACTGGAACCAAAGCTTTGTACAAAGTTCTTTTTTTTTAAATTATAGCCTGAAGGTTTCTTATAAATGTTCTATTTGTGTTCAGCCTCTGGTTCTGGTCCGTTTGACCCGGATCTCAGGACCCAAAGGAGCGGTTGGATCCTGGTCTAATCCAGCAGAGGGCGCCATTGCTGTGCTAAGGTTCCAGTCGGAACCAACTGGGATTATTGGATCAGATCCAGAGGCCTAAAACGTTCAGCAGAAAGTTCTCAGAACCAGAGGAACTGCTGGATTATATAATCTGATTAAATAGTTTCACCAGAGGAGATAAACTATCCATTTTATAACGTTTAAAATAAAGTCGGACGGAATAAAGTTTTCATTTTGTATGAAAGTGATGATGATGATGTCATGAGGAGGAAGATCCATCATCATCATCATCATCATCTGCTGTTATCTAATCTAGAAAATATTTAATCAAACATGAATTTATGAACAAATTCCAATATTTTAAAGATTAAATAAGAAAAAATACAAAAATAACTTATTAATATTTTTGTTTTCAATAAAACATTAAACCTGCTTTTACAGAAAGGGGCGTGTTTTACTGCATGAGTATCAGCAGGTAGAAAACAGTCAGCAAGAAACAGTCAGCAGATAGAAAACAGTCAGCAAATAAACAGCAGATAGAAAACCGTCAGCAAGAACCAGTCAGCAGATAGAAAACAGTCAGCAAATAAACAGCAGATAGAAAATAGTCAGCAAGAACCAGTCAGCAGATAGAAAACAGTCAGCAAGAACCAGTCAGCAGATAGAAAACAGTCAGCAAATAAACAGCAGATAGAAAATAGTCAGCAAGAAACAGTCAGCAGATAGAAAACCGTCAGCAAATAAACAGCAGATAGAAAATAGTCAGCAAGAAACAGTCAGCAGATGGAAAACAGTCAGCAAGAAACAGTCAGCAGATAGAAAACAAACAGCAGATAGAAAACAGTCAGCAAGAAACAGTCAGCAGATAGAAAACTGTCAGCAAGAAACAGTCAGCAGATAGAAAACAGCAAGAACCAGTCAGCAAGAAACAGCAGATAGAAAACAGTCAGCAAGAAACAGTCAGCAGATAGAAAACAATCAGCAGACAGAATACAGTCAGCAAGAAACAGTCAGCAGATAGAAAACTGTCAGCAAGAAACAGTCAGCAGATAGAAAACAGCAAGAACCAGTCAGCAAGAAACAGCAGATAGAAAACAGTCAGCAAGAAACAGTCAGCAGATAGAAAACAATCAGCTGATAGAATACAGTCAGCAGATAGAAAACAGTCAGCAAGAACCAGTCAGCAGATAGAAAACAGTCAGCAAGAACCAGTCAGCAGATAGAAAACAGTCAGCAAATAAACAGCAGATAGAAAACAGTCAGCAGATAGAAAACAGTCAGCAAATAAACAGCAGATAGAAAACTGTCAGCAGATAGAAAACAGTCAGCAAGAAACAGTCAGCTGATAGAAAACAGTCAACAAGAAACAGTCAGCAGATAGAAAACAGTCAGCTCATAGAAAACAGTCAACAAGAAACAGTCAGCTGCTGGAAAACAGTCAGCAGATAGAAAACAGTCAACAAGAAACAGTCAACTGCTGGAAAACAGTCAGCAAGAAACAGTCAGCTGATAGAAAACAGTCAACAAGAAACAGTCAGCTGCTGGAAAACAATCAGCATATAGAAAACAGTCAACAAGAAACAGCCAGCTGCTGGAAAACAGTCAACAAGAAACAGTCAGCTGCTGGAAAACAGTCAGCAAGAAACAGTCAGCTGATAGAAAACAGTCAACAAGAAACAGTCAGCTGCTGGAAAATAGTCAGCAGATAGAAAACAGTCAACAAGAAACAGCCAGCTGCTGGAAAACAGTCAACAAGAAACAGTCAGCTGCTGGAAAACAGTCAGCAGATAGAAAACAGTCAACAAGAAACAGTCAGCAGATAGAAAACATGCAGTAGTAGTTTTACATCAGTTCGATGCTGAAATGTCTGAAATAATTATTCAATAACTGTGATTATTTTCTATAAACATTAAAATCATTTTATTTTATTTAAAAGCTAAAAGTATTTTGGCTAATATGACTAATTAGTATTGGTTTGCCCTAGTACAATTATAGATTGGTAAAAAAAAAAAAAAAAAGATTGGCCGGTTTAACCAAAAGATTGAACACGTAACTTCCAACCTGATTAAAACCAAAAACTGTGGAAAACTATTAAGCTTGAATAAAATGACTGATTTTTCTCTTCTAAGAGATTTTACACACAAAGAAACTTAAGATCATTAACAATTTCAAAGAAACTACATTTTGCAAACATCCCAGATTATATGACAAGCTGTAGTTCTGCACTCCACCAGTAGGTGGAGACATGTTCACAGGAAGCTTTGGGATCATTAAAGCAATTTGGTTCAATGAGGCTCCATCTCACCAATTCTTACCAGTATGAATGACGTCACGTTTCCCATTCATGTGTATTGGGCTTTTACTTCAATTCAATTCAGTTTATTTCTATAGCGCCAAATTCACAACACATTTCATCTCGAGGCACTTTACAGTTCAACCAGATCATACAGTCAGATTGATACAAAGTTTTCTTTTTACTTCTAGATATAAAAATAAACATTATTTATATAATAAAATACATTCTGACGAGTATGAACTCTAATTTCAGATCTCTATGATAGAGGTACTGTGACTCATAATGACTATTTCAGATATCAATAATGAATAGAACATTCTAGATATCCAGTAATCCAATTATTGACAATCAGTTATGTAAAATTATATAGAAATATAATTACAGATATAAACTATTGATGACTAGTTAAAATAATTGAATAAATGGCTTTCCATAGTTTATGAGCAGGTTTATGGAGTTCTGCGGCAGAACCAGCCCACGTGACCTGTTCTGGGAAAACCCTGCCTACGTCACACCCTAAACCACCTGACTCGCAGGGAGCAGCTGCTGGTCACGCCCACTCCTGTATTAGCTCTCCAGGTTCGGTTCGGTTCGGTGCTGATTCTGCTGGAGCCTCCGGACCCTGAGCTGCTCCCAGACTCAGGTAGGACCCCTTCTCCTCCTCCTCTTCCTCCTCTGCTCCTCCTCCTCTGCTCCTCTAAGAGGAGGTGCTGTCCGGCTGTCTCCTTCCGCAAAGAGCAGAACTTTAATTTCATCTGATCTTTAAAAGTTTCTGTTTCTTCAGGCGGAAAAAAAAGAGATTTAAAGTTAAATGTTTGGATTAATGTTGAATGACGCAGAGATTCAGGAGGAGCAGCTGGAATCGATTAGACTGCGTTAGGAGGTACGGAGAGCCGGAGGTACCAAACACCATCATCATCATCATCATCGTGTTCTGAATATCTGCTGCGGCTTTTCTTGCTTTGAACTTTAGTTCTAAAGCTGAAAGTTTTAAAGGTTCCAGAACTTTATTTCTTTATTTCTCAAAGATGTCAAATTGGTTCTGCTGCAGGTTCGGTTCTGTTGGTTCTGCTTTCAGGGTCGTTTGGTCCAAACTTTTACACAAGAAGGTCCTAATTGTTCCAGGTCCAGATGACCTCCTGACCAGAACCTCAGGGAGCAGAACCGCTCCATCCTGGAGCAGCCATGGATCACCTAGAGAAAACCATCCAGCTTGGCTGCAGTTTTCTAGGACCTGGTTCTGACCCGGTTCTCTCAGCTTTAGGTTTGACTTTAGACCCAGTTGGGTCCTGCAGCAGTTTGTCATGAAAGCTTAAACGGAGCAGAACCGGTTGGACCAGCAGCTCCTCCATGTTTGTTCTCCAGCTGCGCTCTGATTGGCTGAAGGCTTTCAGAGGTTTATCAGCTCAACTTTATTTGTTTAATTTAGTGTCGATCAATAAAGAACGAGCTAAAGACTCTAAGAAAGAAAACATGAAAACAGAGAAACTTTGATCTCTTTCCTAAATGTTCAGTTTGTATCTCTGAGCTTTTAAATCACTGCTGGCATAAAAACCAGCTTTATGTCTTTATTTCCCCGCCGCAGATAAACGGAACATAAAACTATAGAAAGGTTTACAGTAAGAAAGATAATCAAGTTTCCTCCTTCTGAGCTCAGACTGGACCTTTGGAACCAAAGATAAAACCGGGTCAGCAGAACCAAGATGATAAGAACATTTCCAAACATCGGCCTCAGTGAAGCGGCGGAATGACGCCATCTTCCTCTGAAACGCGCTTGATGTTTGATTTGAAGGTTTCAGGGTTTTATTGTGACTTTAGAAGAATTCATCACTGCTGTTAAACCTGGCTTTAATCCGGGCTTAAACTGCTGCAGCTCGCACTGAACCACGAAACCACGGTTTAAAAGTTCTCAGCTCGCCGTGTTTGTTCTCACGCCGCAACGCTGTGATGCGACCATCATCCTGGGAGAACTGTGACCAACATGGCTGCCAGGCCAGACTGAACTCTATGTGAAAAGGATGATGACCTTTGACCTCCTGTCACCATCAGGTCAAAGGTCCTGAAGTCCAGATGCAGCATCGGTTTGATTCGTTGACCTGAAATCAGTTTTTTCTTCTCCCAGATCTTCTCGCTGATCTTCTCCCTGATCTTCTCCCTGATCATGTCTCGGAAAGGTGGAAACCGTCCCCCAGAGATGGAGGTTCAGATGGATTCCTCCATCATCAGGATCCCGCCCCATCACTACATCCACGTCCTGGACCAGAACACCAACATCGCCCGTGTGGAGATCGGACCGCTCACCTACATCCGCCAAGACAATGAGAGGCGAGTCCACCAGAAGGTTCCTGTGGACACCTCGTCCTTCCTGGACTAACATCTGCTCTCCTCTCAGGGTCCTGTTCTCGCCGGTCCGTATGATCATGGTTCCACCTCGCCACTACTGCGTGGTGTCCAACCCTGTTGCCCGGGACGACAACAACGAGGTCCTGTTCGACCAGTCCGGCCAGGCGAAGCTTCGTCACGCTGACCTGGAGATCCGTTTGACCCAGGACCCGTTCCCCCTTTACCCCGGGGAGGAGATCCAGCAGGTCTGCAGGGCTGGATGTTCTGGTCAGGCTTGGATGTCCAACATGTTTGACCCTCCTTGCTTTCCTTCCAGGATGTGACTCCGCTGCAGATCGTTTATCCCGACACGGCGCTTCGTCTCCAGGCTCTGCTGGACTTTGAGGATAAGGGAGGAGTGAAGCGGGTGGCTGGAGACGAGTGGCTGTTTGAAGGACCAGGTTGGTCTCTAAGGAGCACCAGGAAGGAGGTCCCTGTGGACCGTCGGTTTTAGATCCCAGTAGAAGGTCTAAGGACCTGATGGACCTGAGGATCTGTAGGCCTCATGGCCTCTAGGAAGACAGACATGGCTCCGAGTTTTGACCAAAGGGTTCTTGTTGTCTCAGGGACCTACATCCCCAGGAAGGAGGTGGTGGTTCTGGAGACCATCAAGGCCACGGTGATCCGGGAGAACCAGGCCATACGCCTGAGAGCCCGGAAGGAAGGCAAGGACAGAGGAGGCGTCCAGAGAGTCACAGGTAATGGGTCACTGCCTGACCGGGTTCTGACCGGGAGAAGGTCCGGATCCACTAAAGATCCGGGTTCATGGAGGACCATCTCAGATCACTGCAGTGAAGCTGTTCTACGTGTCGTTTAGGTGAGGAGTGGCTGGTCAGTAAGGTGGGGGCGTACCTGCCAGGAGCCCATGAGGAGGTCATCGACATCGTCAACGCCTTCATCCTGACTGACAAGGTAACCCCCCCCCACCCCTCGCTCTGGGAACATCTTCAGGAAGTTCCCACGACCAGCAGGATGTTTGTCAGAAGCAGCCTGACCTACTTCTGTCTCTCAGCCAATCAGCACGCAGATCTTCTAGACCCACTTTACCACCGACAGTCACACCTTAGAAACCCGCAGCGCTGCACCACTTCAGGAAAGAGTCACAACTCATGATCATTAGAGCTGATTTTATACTTTAAAGGGTTTAAAGTTACATAAATTAACTCTGATGAAAACTGCCAGTTTAGTAAAACTATTCCTAAAGTACATAAAAAGTTACTTGACTGAAAGTATGAAGTTAGTCGTGTTTCAGAGGCTGGATCTGACCCTATGATCGCATCACATGTTGCTCCGTATGTTCACTACGGTGAAAATACTAAACAAAGAGCCTGTTATCATCGCGCTAGCATATGCTAGGCTGCTAATGCTAATCCCATCAGTGATGGCTCTACAGCTAATCTAGCTATTAAGGATTTATCTGAATAAACTGATAGTTTAGTTTGGTGGTAATAGTATTAGCGTGCTAATGCTAGCATACCGCTAATTGTTGCCATTTCGCAGAGCTAAGATGTAGCATGTGGATGCTAGTGCTAACACTGCATCATTTGCAGTGTGGTGCTGTCAGGCACCAGCAGCTAAGGCAAAAAAAACAACAACATTTAATAAAACAATAGTAGGAATAGTGAGATTGAACAGTGAGGAAAAATTAAGAATAAATATGTTTTTATTTAAAATGGCGTAGTGAGGTTAAAGGAATGTCTAGCTGAGCTGAATATGACCAGTATGCCCAGTATGACCAGTATCTGGGGTAGAGTAAAAATCAGAGGTGTAGCATAAGAGCCTCATGTTAGCTCATCACTATGAGATGCTAGTAAAGTTAGAAGGAGCTATGGAGCTAAATAAGGGCCATAAATACTGAACAATTTGTTAAACATAAATAAATAAATAAAAAATACTACAAATGCTTTAAAAAAATAAAATAAAAAAATTGAAAACAAAAGTGATAAATAAAAATGTTACAGGAATATGATAAAATATTCATGTGATTGGATTTTTAAAAAAGCTCAGTTTTCAGTTTTTGGTTTTAAAGGAAACTGAATAATTTATTTATTTTTTACTTCCGATAAAATGATTAAAACATAAACTGAGCTCCATAGGCAGAGCTGAAGCACAGCAGAGAGGGAGGGAGGGGGCGGAGCCTATGCTCTGACCGAGCCAGTCGCTCAGAGCCACGATCTGATGCAGCCTGATGATGTCACACGTCCAGTCGCTCAGAGCCACGATCTGATGATGTCACCACGTGACTCTGTGATCTAAGTGTGTTTGACGTGTTTTCAGAAAGCGCTGCATGTTCGTGCCCTGCGGCCATTCAAGGACTCCGGGGGGCGGGACCGGCGTACAGGTGAGGAGTGGCTGGTCACCATGGCCGACAGGGAGGCGCACATCCCGTCTGTGGCGGAGGAGGTGGTGGGGGTGGTGGATGTGACCACCCTGAGCAGCAGGCAGTACTGCGTGATCCTGGACCCGGTTGGGACCGACGGGAAGCCTCAGCTGGGCAAGAAGAAGGTGGTGAAGGTGAGGAGATCTTCACCCTGGAGGTCCCGGCTCTCTGGAGGATCTGATGCATCTTTGTCTCCTCCAGGGGGAGCGCTCCTTCTTCCTGCAGCCTGGGGAGCAGCTGGAGAACGGCATCCAGGACGTCTACGTGCTGTCGGAGGAGGAAGGCCTGGTTCTGCGGGCGGTGGAGGCCTTCGTCGACGAGGTGAGGAGAAGTTTGGAACCAGAGGAGACGTGGTGACATCCATGTATTTTAGATAAAACAGCAAAAACTGGCAGCAGAGACTCCGCCTCCTCCTGCTCCTTCAGCCCCATCTGAGCCGGCCGGTTCCGCCGCTCAACCGTCTGTGAAATAGCAGAGGTCAAAGGTCGGAGCCGCTCCTCTATTTGAACTACAGCCAGTCAGACTGCTGCTGCACAGGGCAGGTTTCCATGGAAACGGAGCGCCGTGTTTGCATGAGAACAGGGTGCGGTCAGGATCTGCTCGCTGCTTCTGTCTGCTTTCAGTTGGTTCCAGATCTGAAGGTTCTCAGCAGGTCCAGATGGATCCCAGAACCAAGAGCCGCTCTGAAAGTTCCTGCTTCAGTTTACCACAAACTTTTACTTTTACACATTTTAAAAATGGACTCATTTAAGCTGGTTTTCATTGTGGCCTGTTGGTATTTAAAAAGAATAGATAAATAAAAATGTTCCTTTAATAGATTATTGCTGTAAAGCTTCTGGCCCTGCATTACTTTTACTTTCATACTTAGAGACTTAGACAGTTTTTATTGTCATTTATTACACACAGTTTATTTGGTTAATAACGCCTCCAGTCAGTAAATGAGCAGCTTAGCAGTGAAATAGAACATTTCCATTTATAAAGCGCTGCAGTGATTGAATGTAAAGAAAGATGATGTCAACTTTAATGCTACATTCAGACGGCAAGCAGCAGGAGCATCTAGAGCAGCAGGAGCATTTAGAGCAGCAGGAGCATCTAGTGCAGCACGAGCATCTAGAGTAGCAGGAGCATCTAGAGTAGCAGGAGCATCTAGAGCAGCAGGAGCATCTAGAGCAGCAGGAGCATCTAGAGCATCTAGTGCAGCAGGAGCATCTAGAGCATCTAGTGCAGCAGGAGCATCTAGAGCAGCGGGAGCATCTAGAGCAGCGGGAGCATCTAGAGCAGCGGGAGCATCTAGAGCAGCGGGAGCATCTAAAGCAGCGGGAGCATCAGGAGCAGCGGGAGCATCTAGAGTAGCAGGAGCATCTAGAGCAGCGGGAGCATCTAAAGCAGCGGGAGCATCTAGAGCAGCGGGAGCATCTAAAGCAGCGGGAGCATCAGGAGCAGCGGGAGCATCTAGAGTAGCAGGAGCATCTAGAGTAGCAGGAGCAGCAGGAGCATCTAGAGCAGCGGGAGCATCTAGAGCAGCAGGAGCATCTGGAGCAGCGGGAGCATCTAGAGCAGCGGGAGCAGCGCCTCTTTAGCTTCTGAGCATCTGAGGCGCTTCCCACGCAGCAGCTGCTGGACGCGGCGCCTCATCAACCAATCAGAGAAGCTGATCTGAGAGCTGGTCAGAGGTGTCCAGTAACAAAGTACAAATATTTTGTTACTGTACTTAAAGGAATAGTACACCCAAAACATGATTAGCCTTCATTTTCTACTCACCCCCATGCTGAACAACACTCTGGAGTACTTTTTTGATATCTCAAATGCATCTGGAGATCTGGGAGGCTTCTTGCTGTCTGCTGACATTCAAATAATGAAGGTCTATGGCGCCCGAGACAGAAAGGTCCACAAAAACTTGTCAATATTCCTCCATACTGCTCGTCCAATGTAATCCAAGTGTCCTGAGTGGGTAGCATCCAGAATTTACTCGAAACGAAGTCATTTAGAACGTTTTAGAGCCTAAACAGTAGTGTATAGGATTTCCTAATAGCGCCCCCATGCGCGCTCACGATTCTACGGAAGCCGGCAGACCAAACCAGCGCATTCAGCTCGGCAAAGAACTCATGCTCTTCCTCAACACTGAAGTCTTCAGACATTCTTCTTTCGTTGTTTCTTTCTTTGCACAGGTAAACAGCACATTTCTTCTTCTACGCTTGCATTATCGGCAGACCAGACGCTGAATGCGCACTTTCATCTGGTTTGGTCTGCCGGCTTCCGTAGAATCGTGAGCGCGCATGGGGGCGCTATTAGGAAATCCTATACACTACTGTTTATGCTCTAAAAACATTCTAAATGACTTCGTTTCAAGTAAATTCTGGATGCTACCCACTCAGGACACTTGGAATACATTGGACGAGCAGTATGGAGGAATATTGACACGTTTTTGTGGACTTTTATGGACCTTTCTGTCTCGGGCGCCATGAACCTCCATTATTTGAATGTCAGCAGACAGCAAGAAGCCTCCCAGATCTCCAGATGCATTTGAGATATCAAAAAAGTACTCCAGAGTGTTGTTCAGCATGGGGGTGAGTAGAAAATGAAGGCTAATCATGTTTTGGGTGTACTATTCCTTTAAGTACACTTTCTAGGTATCGATAATTTACTCCCTTACTTCCTTTTCTTCCTACTTCTTCTTCTACTCATTCCATTTTCACACAGTATCTGTACTTTCTATTCCTTACATTTTAAAACAATCGTTACTAGTTACTCTTGGCTTCGGTTTAATGCAGAGGTCACGGATTAGCGGACTGCGGTCCGGATCCAGATCCACCTGCTGGCTAATCTGGACCCAACCTGATTTAAACATTTATAAATTACCGCATCTTGTCTGATGACAGTGTCTAACATCACTGGCGCCGCTTCTCCTGTTACCCAGAAATCCCTCATCCTTGGCTCCGCCCCGGTACGCTCCGCCCCGCAGCGCTCCGCCCCGCAGCTTCCAGACCTCCTGCTCAAAGCAAAGCCTCCAGCCTCCGCTGTTCCTCCCGTATCGCTGCGCTCTGACTGATCCTCGGAGCTCGAGGAGAGCATGCGCCATATTATCATTAAATTAATAGGAGCAAAACATGCAGAAATTAACTATTATATATCCCTATTATTATAATCCCCATCAGCATCCAGCAGATGTTCAGTTTCTGATGGAGATGAGAAATCTGCTTCCTGGTCTGTTGAAGGACCAATAGTTTGCATCCAATCTTTGAAATAAACGCTGTTAGTTTTTTGAAATGTAGAAGAATTAAAGTTATCAATCTGTTGTTACTATAGTTTAATTTCATAAACCGGATCTTCTCGCCGTTCTTTCTCCTGTTTGGTGCGATTGCAATAGCGGATCCGGACCTGGCCGGACCGGAGCGGAGCCTGAACGTTTAGAGGATGTTTGGCTCAACCTGCTGCTGTGAAGCAGGATTCTCCACCATGAACAGAATCAACAATAAATCTGGATCCAGGCTCAAAATGAGCTCCTTGATGTGTGCTTGAGAATGGCTTAGTCTCCGGTTAAACCCAGGTTTAAAGCCTTGCAGGGCAGCCTAAAGCCCACTGCCAACATTAAGACAGAAAAAAGAAAGAAAATAACAAACCATCAGTTCAGGGGTTTGAGAAAATATGGGAATCAGGAAATTATCTATAATCCAAACTGTTGTTGTTCTCTACTCTGACTTGACAGGAAATAAACATTTAGAAACATTAAACCAGTGGAACCTATTAAAAATCAGTGGAGTCCAATTAAAGAAAATCATCAACCAGTAAAGGTCTGGAGACATTTTTATTTATAATCTGTTACTTTAAACAGCAGGTTTTTATGCATCCACATTTACTCTTTAAACAAAAAATAAATACATAGATCATTTTTCCATTTTAAGATCTAAAATGTTTTTTGAAGTGGAGAACAACAGTCGTTCCGTTTGGTTTATAGATCATTTCCTGATTCCCTTTGTTAAATGAGGAAGTTAGGTCCGCTTGAAGGCCGCTGCGCCTCAGGACTTCCCTAACGCTTCTTTACCTGGGAGCAAATTATTTACTACTCTTAACTCAAACTGGGTAAAAACACATAAAACGGACTATAAAACCGGAGTAAAAAAGTAACAGAGTTTATTCCAGATCAGGTCGTTACAGGACAGAGAAAATGTGGGCTCAAAAATCACGTCCGCAAGCGTCCGGCAAAGATTGAGCCCCGATGAAGGTCATCTCCTGCTTCTTATAGCTCATGTGTCCATGTGTTACATCAGGTGGATGATCAGCTGTCTGTATCAGAAACTGACACGCCATCAATGCCCTGACCTGTATGCCTCAGGATTACAGGTAGCTCTCCTCTATCAGTCCGACTCCAAGATGTTCCCATATCCTGTGTATCTTTAAAAGACGCGAAGGCTGTCCTGATTAGATGACCTCTGAACACACAGTGACCTCCACCATGTGAAGGAAGGCCTTCTACTCTGTCTAATCTGGCTAACAGAGTAACAATTCACCTGATTCATAAAGAATAAACCTAACACCATATTTTCTCAAACCCCTGAACTGATGGTTTGTTATTTTCTTTCTTTTTTCTGTCTTAATGTTGGCAGTGGGCTTTATGCTGCCCTGCAAGGCTTTAAACCTGGGTTTAACCGGAGACTAAGCCATTCTCAAGCACATATCAAGGAGCTCATTTTGAGCCTGGATCCAGATTTATTGTTGATTCTGTTCATGGTGGAGAATCCTGCTTCACAGCAGCAGGTTGAGCCAAACATCCTCTAAATGTGCAGGGTCATCTTTGAGCACGCCATTTCACTTTTCTTTCACCAGTTCACCGCAGTTCTTCCAGCAGTCCACACTTTCTCTGCTCTCTTTTTCTCATCGTCTTCTCCTTCTTTCCCATCGCCCGGCTTGCCACAGGTTTGCCTGCTGTGTCTAAAAGTAGCAGCAGCAGCAACCCAGACTGACAGCTCATTGGCTCATTTGGATCACGTGCAGCCTGGAGCCGGACGCTCCCCAGGGCTTTACCGTATTAACAGGAGAAGAAGAGCAAGGGAAATTAGACACTGTGGAGCGTTGATGGTCAGCAGGGGCTGAAGGATCATTGGATCGATCTCAGCTTAAACTGACACTGGGGTCAAAGGTCACAGTAATGCTTTTAAAACCCGTCTTCATGGCTGGTAGTTCCGGCTTGGTCTGATCTTTGTTTGGCCCATTGGACCAGCAGCTCTAGCAGTGAGGCAGGCCCACATCATCATACGACCACCGCCGTGTTTCTGCAGCATCAGAAGCTTCACTTTGTTTCTTCTGACCTTCGTGGATCAGATAACCTTCCTTCCTTCCTTCTGTCTCTCCTTTCATCGCCAACAACCTTTTTGCTTTGCTATCCTGGTTTCATCAGCGCTGCAAACCCCCCCACCCCCCGTCCCCCCCTACCCCCAGTCCCCCCCTCCACTGCATCAGCACATTAACCCTTCCCTCCTTCCTCCCCCGCTCTCTCTGTCAGGCTGAGGAAGCACCAGAGGACGAAGAGGATGAAGAGGAGGAGCAGAGGCGGGACAGCGCCAAGCGCTCTCGGCAGAGTGGCGTCCTCCGTCGCCCTGGCGACCGCTGGATGCTGCGTGGCCCCATTGAGTATGTGCCCCCCGCCAGCGTGGAGGTGGTCCTGACGCAGCGCGCCATCCCACTGGATGAGAACGAGGGGATCTACGTCAGAGACATCAAAACTGGAAAGGTAGGCGTACTGTTGGCCGGGGGGTAGAACCGCCGCAGGCTACCGGGTCCATGACAGGAGGAAAGATACCAGAACCAGAACAGTTCTGGACCCGTCTAATCGCTCCATCATTTGTCTTTGATTTGGAACCAACAATTTGGGTTTAAATTCAAGAAATTTCATAAAATAGAAAAAACAGAGCAGTTCTTGTTTTAGTTCATCATTGCTTCACTAAATGATATAAATAAAAATGGGAAGAAGGTAGATATTGATCTCAGCGCCATCAGAACCACTCAGCCTCATCTGGAAGATAAACGATCAATCCATAAATCATCTAATCAGTTCCAGCATCAAGTTAGTAATTAATGTTTGGATGAAAATGTTCAGATATTCGTCTCCTTTACTGGAGCAACATGAACTCCAACAGGAAGGAGAACAATTCTATTCAGTTTATTTCTATAGCTCCAATTCACATCATGTCATCTCAGGTCACTTTCCAGTTCACCAGATCATCCAGTCAGATTGATTCAAAGTTTTCTATCTAAGGAAAACCAGCTAATTGCATCGACTCATTGACTCTTCAGCAATCCCTCACACTAAGCATGCTTGTAGCGACAGTGGAGAGGAAAAACTCCCTTTTAACAGGAAGAAACCTCCAGCAGAACCAGGCTCAGTGTGAGCGGCCATCTGCTGAGGCCCACTGGGGTTCAAGGAGACAGAAGCAGACATAGAAAAAGAAGCATAGATACAAAAGGCAACTGTCAACCAGCTCCACAGGCGGAAATATCAGGGAAATGGAAAATGAACTGCTTTCTGTTTTTATATTTTTAATGAACCAAAATTAGAAAAAATAAAACAGCTGTTTCCTAGATTTTTAATTTGGTCTCACATTGGAAAACGAAGGAACAAATGATTTCATCTGTCTTATTAGAGCCAGTTTCTAACCGGTTTGATTCAGCAGAACTTCCTCTTCCATGTGGAGTTCCTCCAGGCTCCGTCCTCGCTTTCCTTGGGTTCTCACTAACCGTATCGTTTTTCTGAGCAATAACAACATTTCTCCTGGCTGAGATGTAGTCCTCTGATTAATTTTTTCGAGCCTTAAACGTGTAAGGTTTCAAATGCTGAGGTTCCTACTGATGTTCTTGTTGCCATGGTTCTGACTCCTCATGGCGGTGCAGGTTCGGGCAGTGATCGGACACACCTACATGCTGAACCAGGACGAGGAGCTGTGGGAGAAGGAGCTGCCTCAAAATGTGGAGGCCCTGCTGGCCTCTCGGGTCGACCCGCTGGCCGACCGCTCCAACCGTCGCTCAGATGGTGATGGGCCCCCGAGGGACAAGACCCGCGTGGTGACGTACAGGGTCCCCCACAACGCCGCCGTGCAGGTCTACGACTACAGGGAGAAGAAGGCCAGGTGAGACCGACTGCTTCAGCGCTGGCTTCCGTTGTGAGGAGGCGGCTAACGGCTAACTGTCTGCAGGGTGGTGTTTGGACCTGAGATGGTGATGCTGGGCCCAGATGAGCAGTTCACCGTCCTGTCGCTCTCTGGGGACAAACCTAAGCGGGCCAACGTCATCAAGGCCATCTGCCTGCTGCTGGGACCCGACTTCTTCACTGACGTCATCACCATAGAGACGGCCGACCACGCCCGGCTGCAGCTGCAGCTCTCCTACAACTGGTACCGCCTCAGTTCTGGTAGCACTGGGACCTAACCCAACCTACCTTTACATCTTTCAGTTGGTGTGTATGGATCCTGCTACATGTAGAACCCACCTGGTACCAGTTGGTTCCTAGAGCTCTGCCAGTAGAACCAGCGTGGTACCGGTTGGTTCCTAGAGCTCTGCCAGTAGAACCAGCGTGGTACCGGTTGGTTCCTAGAGCTCTGCCAAGAACCAGCGTGGTACCGGTGGGTTCTTAGGGCTCTGTCAGTAGAACCAGCGTGGTACCGGTTGGTTCCTAGGGCTCTGTCAGTAGAACCAGCGTGGTACCGGTGGGTTCTTAGGGATCTGTCAGTAGAACCAGCATGGTACCGGTGGGTTCTTAGGGCTCTGCCAGTAGAACCAGCGTGGTACCGGTTGGTTCTTAGGGCTCTGTCAGTAGAACCAGCGTGGTACCGGTTGGTTCTTAGGGCTCTGTCAGTAGAACCAGCGTGGTACCGGTTGGTTCTTAGGGCTCTGCCAGTAGAACCAGCGTGGTACCGGTTGGTTCCTAGGGCTCTGCCAGTAGAACCAGCGTGGTACCGGTTGGTTCCTAGAGCTCTGCCAAGAGCCAGCGTGGTACCGGTTGGTTCCTAGAGCTCTGCCAAGAACCAGCGTGGTACCGGTGGGTTCTTAGGGCTCTGTCAGTAGAACCAGCGTGGTACCGGTTGGTTCTTAGGGCTCTGCCAGTAGTACCAGCGTAGTACCGGTGGGTTCCTAGGGCTCTGCCAGTAGAACCAGCGTGGTACCGGTTGGTTCTTAGGGCTCTGCCAGTAGAACCAGCGTGGTACCGGTTGGTTCCTAGGGCTCTGCCAGTAGAACCAGCGTGGTACCGGTTGGTTCCTAGAGCTCTGCCAAGAGCCAGCGTGGTACCGGTTGGTTCCTAGAGCTCTGCCAAGAACCAGCGTGGTACCGGTGGGTTCTTAGGGCTCTGTCAGTAGAACCAGCGTGGTACCGGTTGGTTCTTAGGGCTCTGCCAGTAGTACCAGCGTAGTACCGGTGGGTTCCTAGGGCTCTGCCAGTAGAACCAGCGTGGTACCGGTTGGTTCTTAGGGCTCTGCCAGTAGAACCAGCGTGGTACCGGTTGATTCTTAGGGCTCTGTCAGTAGAACCAGCGTGGTACCGGTTGGTTCTTAGGGCTCTGCCAGTAGAACCAGCGTGGTACCGGTTGGTTCCTAGAGCTCTGCCAAGAACCAGCGTGGTACCGGTGGGTTCTTAGGGCTCTGCCAGTAGTACCAGCGTGGTACCGGTTGGTTCTTAGGGCTCTGCCAGTAGAACCAGCGTGGTACCGGTTGGTTCTTAGGGCTCTGTCAGTAGAACCAGCGTGGTACCGGTTGGTTCTTAGGGCTCTGCCAGTAGAACCAGCGTGGTACCGGTTGGTTCCTAGAGCTCTGCCAAGAACCAGCGTGGTACCGGTGGGTTCTTAGGGCTCTGCCAGTAGAACCAGCGTGGTACCGGTTGGTTCTTAGGGCTCTGCCAGTAGTACCAGCGTAGTACCGGTGGGTTCCTAGGGCTCTGCCAGTAGAACCAGCGTGGTACCGGTGGGTTCTTAGGGCTCGACTGTCTCTCTCAACCTGCAAACAGTTTTTAGGTGCTGTTGCGGTTCTGAAGCCCGTTTCTCTCTTTCAGGCACTTTGACATTAAGAAACCAGCCGACGCAGCTGATGCCACGGCGCTGTTTTCCGTCCCGGACTTTGTGGGCGACGCCTGTAAAGCCATTGCGTCGCGGATCAGAGGAGCCGTCGCTTCTGTCCAGTTTGACGACTTCCACAAGGTCAGAACCCCGGTTCTCTCTCAGGAGGAACATGTGTTCCGGATAGTGGTGTCTTCCTTCCTACTGTTGCCGACCCAAAGCCATGAAGAGGTTCTGTCCTGCAGATTCTAGATTCTTCCATCCACCAGAAGCTGGGTCCAGTCCTAAAAGCTGCAGCAGTGCTCCAGAACCGGACTGAGGAGACCAACCATGTCCTCTGGGTTCGTCCAGCTTCATCTAAACCTTCAACCTTTCTGTGTTCAGAACTCCATCCGGATCATCTGCTCTGCCGTGTTCGGGTTTGATGAGAAGCTGGCGGTCCGTTCCAATCTGCGCTTCAAGCAGAACAACCTGGTGATCAGCAGTGTGGACATCCAGTCGGTAGAACCTGTGGACCAGAGGACCAGAGACGCCCTGCAGAAGAGCGTCCAGCTGGCCATCGAGATCACCACCAACTCCCAGGAGGCAGCGGCCCGGTCCGAAACGCTCTCACCATCAGGACCTTCCTCAGAATGAGGCGGATTGATGAAGTTCTGATTGTTCCTGCAGACATGAGGCGGAGCGCCTGGAGCAGGAGGCCAGAGGAAAGCTGGAGAGGCAGAAGATCAATGATCAGGCCGAGGCGGAGCGGGCCCGGAAGGAGCTGCTGGAGCTGGAGGCGCTCAGGTGGGTCCATTTGAAGCAGAACCACCCCAGAACCAAGCCTGGTTTAGTCTTCCAGATCCGGTTCTTCCTCTCTGTCTCCTATAACCCACCGTCTGGCATGTTCCAGTGCTTCGGTGGAAAGCACCGGCGCCGCCAAGGCGGAGGCCCAGTCCCAGGCCGAGGCGGCCCGAATCCGGGGTGAAGCCGCCGTCAACGAGGCCCGACTGAAGACCGAGGCCCAGAGGATCGAGGCGGTACGTCATTTCCTGTTGCTGCTCACTTCCTGTGGGAGGAGCTCTTCTTCATATTTAAACAGAACCAAAGTCAAAAAGGTTTTCCTGGTTCTCCCTTCTGGTAATCAGATTACCCCAATCCGTCTTTGATCCTATCAAAACCTCAGATTCTGCTTTAAACGTGTATCGGAGCCAGTTGGTGTGTCCAATCACAGGCTCCCATGCCCCTAACCTTTGTGTCTCAGGAGGCGGAGCTTCAGCGGCTGTCCAAGGCCCGGGAGCAGGAGCTGAACTACAAGAAGGAGATGGACCGTCTGGAGGTGGAGAAGCAGGAGCGCCTGGCCCAGCTGGAGAGTCAGCGCTTCAAACAGATGATGGAGAGTTTGGGCAGCGACACGCTGAAGGAGATCGCCAGAGCTGGACCAGAACTGCAGGTGCGTTTCAGGAGAGGACAGGTTCTGTAGATGGTTGAGAAGTCCGGTTATGACCTGCGGTTCTGGTTCCCTGTGCAGGTGAAGATGCTGCAGTCTCTGGGCCTGAAGTCCACCCTCATCACCGATGGCTCGTCACCAATCAACCTGTTCACCACCGCTAATGGCCTGCTGGGGGCGCTGCCGGGACAGGGGGCGGCGCAGTGAGGAGGCATCAGATACAGGTACAGTTCAGCAAGTTCAGTAGTTTATCAGAGATGGTTCTAGACCTTCACTGAGAGCCTCAGCTGAACAATAAGGATCGATCAGTTCACTGGTGGAAGATCATGAATCCATTCAGCATCTCAACCTGAAGAACCCGGCCTGGTGCAGGAAGTAGGACTAGGGTGACCATATTTTCATTTGGGAAAACCAGGACACCTTGAAGCGGGGGGGGGGGGGAGTTGATTTATTAAAAAATGCTTTTCAGTAAAAGTCAACAGCAATAACTTCAATAACAAACGATAATTTCATTCAAAATGTATTTATTAAAAATGCTTAACAATTCCTGTAATGAATAAAAAGCCCAATGAAAGAAGTAATGTCTCATCTAAACATCCCTCACTTAACAATAAAAGTTAACAATAACTCTCCACTCCCAATATGATGATACTCAGCCTTAGCAATGAACGAAATAATGTCTGTTCTGTAGGCTATTGGAAAAAAATAAATTAACAAATGAGCTAATTAACAAAAAATACCTCTTGTGTAGCAAAAATAATTCAAAATACCAAAAACGAACAAACATATCAATAGACTATCTTTCCTTTCGGAGTCCAGGTGGCTTTTCAGATTCCTGCACCTCCATTGGACACAGAGACATATGAGCCTGCTTTGCAAAATGTGCACAAGGCCTCCCGTTTGTCTCGACCCGGTCTGAAAGCGGGGAAACTCTTTTGTAAGTCGTCGGTAAACATAGATTTGCGCTTTTGCATGTTGTTGGCGTACTGACAGCCATTCTGATTAAGAACAGGGCTGCCCGCACTGACGCGGCTCAGGGATTACGTCACACGCAGCGCCGTGCGCAGTGCCCTAGTGCCTGTACATTTAAAGGTCCAATTAAGGTAATTTAAAAAAAACAGGACATTTCCTCACTTTCTATAAAAAACCTGGGACGCCCGGGACAGGACGTGAAATACGGACCCAGTCGGCGACTGGAAGTAGGACCCAGTCGGCGACTGGAAGTAGGACCCAGTCGGCGACTGGAAGTAGGACCCAGTCAGCAACTGGAAGTAGGACCCAGTCAGCAACTGGAAGTAGGACCCAGTCAGCAACTTGAAGTAGGACCCAGTCGGCAACTGGAGGTAGGACCCAGTCGGTGACTGGAAGTAGGACCCAGTCGGCAACTGGAGGTAGGACCCAGTCGGTGACTGGAAGTAGGACCCAGTCAGCAACTGGAAGTAGGACCCAGTCGGCGACTGGAAGTAGGACCCAGTCGGTGACTGGAAGTAGGACCCAGTCAGCAACTGGAAGTAGGACTTAGTCGGAGACTGGAAGTAGGACCCAGTCGGCGACTGGAAGTAGGACTTAGTCGGAGACTTGAAGTAGGACCCAGTCAGCAACTGGAAGTAGGACTTAGTCGGAGACTGGAAGTAGGACCCAGTCGGCGACTGGAAGTAGGACCCAGTCGAAGACTGGAAGTAGGACCCAGTCGGCGACTGGAAGTAGGACCCAGTCGGCGACTGGAAGTAGGACCCGGTCTTTAAACACTTTGATAAAAGTTGAGCTTAGTTTTAGATGAATGCTGAATGTTCTCCTGTTCTTCATGTTCCAGATCAGCGGAGGGTCAAAGGTTCTGGGACCTCCAGGGATGATGTGAGGGAACCTTCTGCAGACGATGGTCCCTGCCTTCAGCTTATGTTCCTGCTTAGTCTGCGTGCTGAATGTTGGTTGTGCTTCAGAATATCTCGGGTTCTTCTCATGTTTTGCCTTAAATGCAATCACTGCTTTCTTTCAATCAAAGATGATTAAACTGACCTTTAAACCAACTGCAGCGGTTCTGTCTTCTTCAGCCGTAGAACCGGGTCAGAAAGATCTGCTCTTCACCCTTTCCACCCGTATGCTGATGAAGATTCTCAGTCATCCAGTTCATAGTCATTCCATAAAAGTTTAAAAAACAATAAGCTGGACTTTGAAGACGTTTCGCTTCCCCTCCAGGAAGCTTTCTCAATTCAATTGAGAAAGCTTCCTGGAGGGAAAGCGAAACGTTTTCAAACCTTGGAAACCAGTCCCAGCTGATTGTTTTTAAACTTTTACAGACTTTCCACCCGTATTAAAATGGATTCATGTTCTTCATAGAACCAGAAGGGTTAGAGGTGAGTAGAAGCTCCAGTCTGCCCTCCATCAGAACGTAGAGCTACTGGAGATCAGGTAGATATGCAGGAAACCTACCGATCCAAACAGGCTCAGTTTTTAGCCCAAATCCATCGATCCAACCAGAGGCAGCAAACGCCTCCAGACTGCTGCTCAGGACGGTCAGGGATCCATTCATGGTCTGAACATCTGAGGGATGTTCTACCATCCAGACCTGAAGGTCAGAGGTCAGGGATGCTGCAGAGGAGCTTCTGGAAGAACTGCTTCACCAGGAGATACTAGTGAACCAATCAGGGCTCTTTTGGACCGATGTGGTTTATGTGATGCCTCCGTCTGGCCAGCGGGGGGCGATGTTGATTCACCGTCCACCAGCTGAGAGACTGCTGTGTAAAAATTATTTAACCTGCGTTCCTTCATCAGAGCTCCACTTCTTCTTCTGCTTCTTTACGTCCCGCTTCAGACTCAGATGAGGTCATTTAGTGAAAAACTGGGTTTGGATGACAGCTGACTGATGGAGCACCGCTACATTACTCTGGAGTTCCTGCCTGGAGAAGGTCACTACTAGACACATCTGCAATCAACAACAATTATTGAAGATTTCCAGAGGACTTCACCATTGAAATTCACCAGAGCTATAGTGAAACTGACAATGCCCACGTGCATGGCAGCTGGATGCTGGAATACATCGGGTAAAAGTGAAATAAAGAGTTATTCCACCTTTCTGATTCCTGATCCTCCACGGACGGGTTGGTCGTTGGATCGCCAACTTGAAGAGGGAGGATTTGCCATCGAACTTCTGGCCAGAGAAAAAACCCGTAATATGTAGCCAACATTTGGAAGAAGAATGTTTTCAAGATGACTTGGATAATAGCGCGTTGTGACAAACGCCAGATACAGCACTGGGACTTGATCAACAGCCGATACCGCACCGTGACGTCACTAACCAGTAGGTGGCAGTAGTGTTCTTTGACAAACATGGTTGCCTCCAGTAAAGCACATTCACATGAAAATTACTCTGAATTAAAAACACTGATCATTTATTGAACAGGATGGAATCATTTCAGATTTTAAGAACTTTCAGAAGTTTGAATTCTGAATATGAGCGATTTTTCCTTTAATCCTTGGAAGGAAGAACAGATGTTCTGATTAAATGATTGAAGAACAGGGAGGATCTAACAAAGGATTCCTGAAATAACCTGGAAGTAAAGGAGTCTGGCTCCTCACCAACACGTTAAACACATGATGAGGCTTCCATACATCAGGAAACAAATCTAGCTTCCATTAAGGTAATTAAAGGGGAACGATTTTCCCATCATGCTCTGCTGCAGAGTCTGAGTCCCACCGATTGGTTCATGGATGCAGGTTATGCCTCAGTGTTGCCTTAGGATGAAACCTCGCTGGCTGGATCAGCCAGAAGGTGGCGCTCTGCTTCCAGGCAGGGCGCTTCTAGACCAGGTTCACTGGCTCCAGACTAGCTTTGAATGTGGTGATGTCATCAGTACGCTGCTGACATCCAGATGACCCAAATCTGTGCTGCGTGCTCCCAGAATCCAGACTTTCCTGGGTTCCAGTCAGGAACAGACTTGGAGAGGAGACGAGTCCGTACTGGCGTTCTTGAGAAACAGCCCTGGTCTCCTCAGCTCCTCCCCTCCAGGTCTTGTTGGACACATCTAGAGCTACTAGATCTACGGCTATGAATGAAATCTGGTCCCTCGATCAACAGGAGTCTGAAAACTGAAGCCTGGAATATTTGGGAGATTCAGGGAGAGGAATGTTGGGAATCCTCCTCGGAGCTCCTTGGCTGAGCTGACATCCTTCAGGGAACATCAACCATCATTTCTCCTGATCTGGAAACATTCTCCTGTTTACCGGAGAACGCCATGAGGAAGGTTCTGTTAGTGAGGATGATGATGATGATGATGATGATGATGATGATGATGATGATGATGATGATGATGATCTGCATATTGATCCCAGGTGAGGAAGATTCACCTCATTTTCAACAATCTGGAAAAGAACAAAGCTAAAGTGTCTGAAGGACGGAACCGATCATCCGTCCAGCCTCAGATGGATCAGCTGATCAGAACCGAGGCCTGGTTCTGACCCGCATGACCCGGCTGGTCATCTTCTGATTGGTCATCTGGGTCCGTTTAATCTGAGCTTTTCATTAAATCTTTAATATTTAACAAACTTCTCATTTTGGTCCCTAAACTTTAGAAGCGTTTGTAATTTTCTCGGAGCAGCTCCTGGTGGTTCTGGTAGAACCCGTCCAGTCATTAGAACCGGACCTGTGATGTGGCACAGACAGACGGCTCCATCGTAACTCAATCCATCGATCAGATAATTGGATCAGGCTCGGTTCCTTAATCCCTCAAAGATGACGCTAATTCCCTCCACCTGTCTCCTCCAGTCCAGTCTTCTCTCCATCTTCCAGAACTCCAGGCTCCGCCTCCTTCTGGCTCCGCCTCCTTGTCCTCAGGGTTCCCTGCTCTGCTGATCTGCATCCAGGCTAACCATGAACCCTTTAGGCCCAGTGATGTCACGCTGCCCCAGCTGCTGAGGCTGAGACATTACAGGCATCCGCTTCATCAGATTAATTCATCTTTTAATCTGTTATTAATCCATTTCTCTATCAGACATGTTTTCATTGGTCTGATGTTAGAATCCTAAATGTTTTTATAAAACCTTAAAAAGAAATAAGACCTGAGCTCATCATTCAGTGTTTAATTAATTAGTCTTTCATTGATTTACTGCAGTGAACAAACTTTTCAATCACAGGAGGAATAAACGAGCTCTTCTGCTTTGCTCCTCTTTCTCCTCCTCCTCTACTTCCTCCTCCCGCTCCTCTTCCTCCTCCTCTTCCTCCTCCTCCTCCTCCCGCTCCTCTTCCTCCTCCTCTTCCTCCTCCTCCTCCTCCCGCTCCTCTTCCTCCTCCTTTTAATGATTTAGCTGTATGTTCAGATGGTTTCTCAGACACAGACGGAGCTGCTAACCGGACTCCTCCTCACCCCAGCATCCCTTGCCAATGGTTGTCATGACAACTGCCTTTCTTGTCCTAGAAACAGGATCTGAAGTCTGCTGCCTTCTTGTGTTGTTTGATGCTTCATTTGATGGAGACCAAAATAAACCGAAGCAATGAAGGATCTATTCTCACGTTTCCTTCGGTCAAACCCAGCGGCTGGTGGAATTTTCTTTAAATAGACGTAAACCAAAAACCAATCAAACATCAACTAAGTTAGTATATTTATATGAATGCCAACAACAAAAAACATTATAAGACTTTATAAAAACATCATTCCATATCCAGGTTTACTTTCTGTCCATAAATCCTGCCCCGCTGAGGCTGTGAAGGTAAATCTGTGTTTGGTCCATTATTGCATCACAAACCTAAAAAATTAATAAACCAGTTTAATAATTGAGAAGCTGTTAGTCAGCTTTAGATGTTTTAATATATAAAGAATTTGTTTATTTAAGAGCAACTATGCAAATAAACAAACATCTAGAAAAGTAGACTAGATTCTATTATCTTCCATGTGAATTCCAGGTTGTTCATTCTACTTTGCCTTTTCTATAAAGTGCTTTAAATCAGTCCTAGCTGCCTTTATCAATGCTGGATCAGAGCCTGATGTTTGAATAAGGAGGCAGGATAAAGCCTTAGCGATCTAAAATGTTCACATTCGTTTTTTTTATAAATTCAATTATTTAAACATTTCAGCAAAGATAACATCCAATCAGTTTATCTGGTGAAGATCCTCAGTCCTCCAGGTAAGAATCATTTTAAAAAAGTAAAAAAAACAATCTACTGGACTTTGTTTCCAAGATTGAAGACGTTTCGCTTCCTTCCCGCTATCATCACAACCCCCACCCCTTTACAGGAGAACAGAAGACCTCCCCTATTCAGCCAGGCCAACTATTTCCTCTAACGACCCCCCTTTCAGAGGCATAGACAGGTATGGGGCATTGCAGGCTAACAAAGAAGCCCAACGACCCCCATTCCAAAGGGGGGGACCCGTTCATCCGTTTCTATTTGCATGTTTTCTAAACTAAAACCAGGCTTTGTTGGGCTGCTGGATAAAACCTGGAACTAAACGCTATTTCTGACATTTTGGATTGAAAAATCTTCCTGGATGGAAGAGAAACGTCTTCAAACTTGGAACCAAAGTCCAGAGGATTGATTTGAACTTTTCTGTATTCAGGATTTAACTTGCAGCCATGTGTGTCATGATCTGCCCTGATAGCTCACCTTAATTACTTTCACCTGCTTAACTTTGCCCAGCTCCCAATCATCTCTCATCTCGTCCAACTGCCGGTTTCCCTCATATTGGGCTCAGTTCCAGCTATCAGGGCAGATCATTGCTTTCTGTTCGTGTCTCATCTGTCAGTTTTGTTAATGTTATATTTATTTCCAAGGTTTATGTTCCAGTGAGGAGTTTATTCTCTAGCCAGTGTCCTCAGGCGAGTTATTCCCTGACCAGTGGTGAGAGCGCCTCCTTGTGGTTCTGATTTCCTGGTTCCGTTCCCTCTCATCCACCGGCCCTTTCTGTCCCTGCCTGATCTGTTCACCTGAACCGCTGTTGGACTCCTGCTGGATTCTGCCTCCTTCTGTCTGAGCTGGATGCTCGATGCACGGGACTCTGAACCTGCCTTCACTCTCTGATCATTCCTGGAACCTGGATCTGTCTGTTCCTGAGTGGATCAGGACCCCTGACCGGAGTGTGGACTCCTGGATTACAGAATTACTCCAGTCTGATCTGAATCCCAGTCCCGCCTGCTCACTGGGACGCTCTGGGCGGCTCCCGTTGGCAGAGCGTCAGCTATGATAGAGAGCATGGACTGAACTGTTAGACCAGGTAAGTGACTCACTCTGATAATCCTCTCCTGCTCAGATTATCGTGGTCGCTTACCTGTTTCTCCCTAAAGCAGAGTGGCCATGAGTGCCCCGCCCCCTTCCTGCAGCCGCAGGTCCACAGCTTCTGTTCTGTTCTTTTAGTCTTAATAAACGTTTTGGAATTTCCTACTGGTTGTCTCACCTTGAATACTGGGTCCATCTGTCCCGTCTATGATCATGTGACCTCTAGATCCGACATGTTGGGATTTTAAAAAGGTTCCTATGATAAACAAATTGATTCTCAGTTGGCTGCAGGAGTCTATGGCAGCCTTAGGTCTGTCTGCCCCAGGGCAGTGGCGGCTACAGCGGAGCGCACCACCATCAGCGTATGACTCAATGAAGTGTAGCGGTTTGTTCGAGTCTCCTGACTGGAAAAAAGCGTCCCGGCTGTTCACTATTTCTTCCACCTGTTCAGTCACTAGTGAACATTCATGAACAGACGCCGCTGCTCAGACTGAAACGTCTCTGATCAAAGAAAGGAGCCTGGAGACTGAGAGCAGCTCATATTGAACCAGGATTTATTCTCTTCAAACATGATCAGATACTCGGCAGCAATGGAGACACCAATGTCTGGATTAAAGTGAACACCCATTCGTTCTCATTCAGCAGTCAGGCTAAGGCATGCACAGACAGAGACCGTGGTTCATGCTTGCATCGTCCTCCCCCCTCACTGCTGGGGGAGGCTGGTTATACTGGGCGGTACAAACTGGAGATTAGATACAAAACCAGCAGAGAAACATTTACAGAGATCAGAATAAATAATCTGGCATCAGTCAGCAGTTTGAAATGAAAAGGCCTTCAGGAGATGGGAGCTTGGTTCCCATAGAAACCATCATCCTCAGTAATGCTTTGCTTGAATTAACATTTAAACCTCAAACTTCAACAAATCCTCCATCTTGATCCAAGTCACCTCAGAATCTGCAGCTGATTCAGAACCGATTGAATACAGGAACCAGTTTCTACAGGACTCCGTCCTAAAGGGTCAGAACAGGAACCAGCCCAAAGCCGGGGTTGGTACCAACCTGCTGGAAACGGCTCCGCTGATGAACACGGGTCAGAGCGCAGGCATCAGCCAATCAACATGAGGCCCAACAGATCAGAGTCACAGTCCCAACATGACCCGGTTCTGCTCCCACAGCGGCTCCGGATCCATATACCGGGTAGATCCGTGTCTTATGAGGAGTCTGAGTGTACGACAGCGGGAGAGAAGCTTCCAGAAGTTCTGCTGAAATACACCTGGAAAGCATCTAATGTCAAAAATCAATTATTGTTTATGTCACCAGTTAGACGGAGGATTAGGGCCAGGCTGAAAGCTTCTTCTTTTTATACGAGAATAAAGTTTTATTTTATGAAAACTGAAGCAGCTCTTTCTTCCCTAAACGAAGAATGTGGAGCATCTTATGAGGTTATATGTTGGCATCAGTTTAATAAATAAGGAAAAATTAAGTCCTTTAGCATCAAATGATCATCAGTTTGAACTTTGAAACAATTGTTTTAAGGACTTTGAGCTGGAAGCTTTGTTTCTGAAATGGGTTCTGCTACAATGACTTCATTCCCTTCGAAGGCTTCTATCTGGGCCCCGATACTCCGACCTAAGAACCAGAACCTATCAGTGGATAGCTGATAGGTTCTGATTTTACACCAACTGGACCTGGAACCAACCAGCTTCCTTGTTTTGGACCTGGAACCAACCAGCCTCCATGATTTGGACCTGGAACCAACCAGCATCCACGATTTGGACCTGGAACCAACCAGAATCCATGATATGGACCTGGAACCAACCAGCTTCCTTGATTTGGACCTGAAACCAACCAGCTTCCTTGATTTGGACCTGGAACCAACCAGCTTCCTTGATTTGGACCTGGAACCAACCAGCATCCATGATTTGGACCTGGAACCAACCAGCATCCATGATTTGGACCTGGAACCAACCAGCCTCCATGATTTGGACCTGGAACCAACCAGCATCCACGATTTGGACCTGGAACCAACCAGAATCCACGATTTGGACCTGGAACCAACCAGCTTCCTTGATTTGGACCTGGAACCAACCAGCATCCATGATTTGGACCTGGAACCAACCAGCTTCCTTGATTTGGACCTGGAACCAACCAGCATCCATGATTTGGACCTGGAACCAACCAGCATCCATGATTTGGACCTGGAACCAACCAGCTTCCTTGATTTGGACCTGGAACCAACCAGCATCCATGATTTGGACCTGGAACCAACCAGCATCCATGATTTGGACCTGGAACCAACCAGCATCCATGATTTGGACCTGGAACCAACCAGCTTCCATGATTTGGACCTGGAACCAACCAACCAGCTTCCATGATTTGGACCTGGAACCAACCAGCTTCCATGATTTGGACCTGGAACCAACCAGCTTCCTTGATTTGGACCTGGAACCAACCAGCATCCATGATTTGGACCTGGAACCAACCAGCTTCCATGATTTGGACCTGGAACCAACCAGCTTCCATGATTTGGACCTGGAACCAACTAGCATCCATGATTTGGACCTGGAACCAACCAGGACCCCCGTGTAAAGCTGGGGTTAACTAACAGCCACCTGTTATGTTCAGAGTGAAATAATCACCACCAACCGACTGCTGGATCAGGATAAGAACTGGTTTCCGTTCATTATGGGATGTTTCCACAGCCTAGAGGGGACTGATGTTCAACGGACCAAAACATGCAGTTAGGAATCCATGTCGCTGCTGATTTCACAGCGTTTCTTTCACTAATCAATCACCAATGCTATTAAATCTCCTTCAGGACTTTTCATTTCTAATTAAACAAAATAAAATAAACTGATGCTTGGAAAGTTTTTCTATTTACACACTTCTTCCAGGTGACCCAGAGAAGAACAGCATGAAATAAGTGCAGGTAGTGATATGAATGTGGTCATGTTACAGACACAATGTTAGCATCGAAGCAGTAAAGAGAAACAACAGATTTAACTGTCAGTTTCTAAAATGTGGTCCAGATACAGCAGAAGAACCTGAGAGGTAGCAGAAGCAAAAAGTTCAGAGCACAGAACAATCGGTTAAAACAAAGCATCCAGACTGAGCCAAACAGAACATTTTGATCTTTACTTGCATAATGTGGTTAGTATAGAGGCATGCTACAATCGGGACAGGAGAGGGTCGAGCAGCGGCGTGAGTGAGCTGAAGGCGATACGTCAAAATGCGACATGTTTCTAATTTCAGGTTCAGATAGTCCAGGTTCCTTTGTTCCTCCACCACCTTTACCCAGAGACAATCCATCCCAGACAAGTGATATCTGCTAAACATCGTCCAGAGGGACATTTTAACGAGGGTTCAAACAGATCCCTGGATGTAGGAAGACTTCCACGTCTAAGGAGACCAAAAAGATTCCTTAGATAGATGAAGTGGCGTCTAGTGGCGACCATGACATCATAGATCTCCCATGGCATTGTGCAAAGATCAATAAATGGTGCTAAGAGTCCTCCTGTGGTCTTTGTACCAACATGTTGAGGAAATGGACCTTCTGTGAGTCTAAAGACCTCAATGGTGAATACAGAAAGAACCATACTCACCAATTTCACTAGGACCTACTTGCTTTACTATGAAATGAAACAAAATGTAAATCCCTTTATTGTCCCACATTGGGGAAATTCACTCTCTGCATTTAACTCATTCCCTTGGGGAGTGGGGAGTGTCAGTCTGTGGGGCTCAAATCAGGGACTTCCAAACTTCTCAGAGCACAAGCACACGGCTCTAACCACTAGACCGTCACTTCCCAGAAAGCAGAACGTAATGACCAGGGAATCCCTGTGAGTGTAAACACCCCCATGGAGGGTCTGTAGACTGACCTGCTGGGTACAAAAGGAAAAATAGCAGGTAGGCAGACCTCCTTTTCATAATGAGACTGAGGTGGGTTTGTTCTGGATGAACTTGAGAACACAGAGGCATGTACCAAGTCTGGAGAGATCTTTGCACCCATGGTGGAGGAGATCTTTAATGAGCATATGGGTCTTAGAGCCATGGTAGCTGATGGAAACCACAAAGAGCCCTCTCATTGGTGGGAAAACACCCATGGCAGGTATGCCCTATTTCACATATAAGCCCCATTTACAATACCCTTTAGACACGGTAACCGAGACAACTGTTGAGTCTAAACGGTACGGAGAACTGAACCGGACCGGACACAACTGGCTCGGTTCTCAACGAGCAGACCGCCTCATCCCTTACAGTCAGCCTCCGTAATCATTCCTTAAAGATCCTAGCTTCCCTACCGCGCCGCACGATTTCCAGTGATGATTCAGCTCAGCAGTGGGATTAACCTCAACATCTGTCGTTGTTTCCTGCATCTGGAAGCTCTGATTAGACGATTGTTTGTCGTATCCACTTCCCAAAATCCGACTCTGTCAAGTAATTTCACCAAAGGCTGCCTTCTTCGCCTGACTCTCTGCAAACTTCCTGAATGTTACGGGCGCCGCCATGTTGGTTCGATTGTTTCCCTCTAGAGAGCAGTAGTACCGTAGATCGCCACTAGGAGGCGAGGAACCGTGCTAGCGTGGTGCGTAAACGGACATAAGGAACCAAGCTCGGCACGGATCGGTTTCAGAGGGGAGTGGAAATGGGGCGATAGAGACCTATACTGGAATCACAGATACCCATAGTGGCAATGACCAGAGAAGGGTTCCTAGAGAACATCAAGAGCCATGAGGATTGGCTCCTTCATGCTAATGGTCGCAGGTTCTAAGGGAACAAAACAGTAGGTTTTTATGGTGGACTTCAGGAACCAAAAGGAACAAAGGAACCGGGACCCAATCCAGACGCCCTTCACCGAAATATGTCTAGAAAACCTGTTTTTTTCCTTCCTCTGGCGGCGAAGAGGCCATCGTGTTGTTTCAGTGTTGAACAGGACAACCTGAGCTCAACCATCGCTGCCAAAACCTGCCACACAGAACCACAGCGAGGACGAGGAGAACTTTCATCTATTTACAGTGTTTCTCAGGCAGCATTGCTGCTGAGTGAAAGTACCGTCATATGTAAAGGATGTAAACATGCACAGGTTATTGGAGATTCTGGTTCTGGTACAGCTTAGTTCATCTGGGTTCATTCCAAAGAGTTAATTAGCATGCACAGAGGTCAATGTTCCGGAACACCATGAAGCCACTGAAAATGCTCCTTATTTCCAATTACTAAATAACCAGGTTTGATTTCAGAGTTTGGCACCAGAAGCCCTGCAGGGCTGCAGCATCATCACAGACATTTCATTCACTGGGGCTATAAATCCTTCGTGCAGCTACCTGTCCAGCCAGGTGTGAGTTCATTGTGCAAACTGGAAGCAGTTCTACATGAAGCAGAAGGGGTGAAAAGGAAAGACCTTTTACACCTAAAAGCCTGGTAGCTCTAACAGGGATCCCACACAGGACACAGAACCTTCCTGATGTCCTAACATTCAGCTGACAGGTCGCTGCTGATGTGATATAAGTATGAAATTATATGACTGTTGGTAATAAGTTGTGGTTCAAACCCAAACGGACACGTCTTCATGGTGAACCTGCGGTTCTCCCGCTGGAAGCAGCTCGGTGCGGAAAGCTTCCTGCAGGGAGAGGAAAAAGAGTTGACTGCTTCTGAGGCGAAACGAAGCTAAACTCAGGAAAGCAGATCAGAGAAATCAGGAGGAGCAACGGATCCACGATCAGAGCCAGAAACACCCAGAGATGCAGAGTAGACGTAACCTTAGCTCCCTAATGAATAGAATCATCTGAGCCATCACTGCAGGCCCAGTAAGCAAAGACGCTGCGGTCAGACAGATTCATTAAATATGGCTGAATGTGAGGCTGACCTGGGATCAGTCGCTACTGCAGCTGACTGCAAACATCCGGCTCAGAAGACAAAGCTGAGGGTTTGAAACCAGAAGCATCACTGGAAGGAGATGAATGTAGACCTTAATCAGTCAGAGTTTCCTTATCATAGCAGATGATTAGACATTCATTTAGTTTGAGTCAAATCTAAGGAGAAAAATTGATTTTCTGTCATGTTATGGTGCTAAATTTGGACTCAGAGTCACTTTAGAGGGATGCTTTATCAGGGCTGGAGGCCATCAGGTAGGAGATGTTCCAGCTGAATGTTGATGATAACCTGAATCTTTCTGCTCTGCAAGACGCAACAGATCTAGTGTGTCCAGTTCCTTCCCAGGATCCAAAGGAGATCCTGGGATCTACAGAGTTCTGGGTCTGCCTCTGTGGGATGTGCCCCCAGAGGGAGGAGTCAATGCTTTAGAGGAGGAGCTCCTCCAGGAGGATGGTGGAGCTCCTCTCCTTATCCCTCAGCCAGAGTCCAGCCACTCTGCAGAAGAAGCGAATATCAGCTCATAGATCCATGATTAGTTCTTCCATCTAAGGTCCGTCTCTCCGGACCGCGGATGAGCGGTTCATCTAGAGCTTCAGCTTTCAGTCCTTCTTCCTCACCAAAGACCAGAGCAACACCTTGACTCTAACTCCTCCCTAAGTCTGAGGGGAGACGTCCATTTTGTCCTACCCGGGTGTCCGCTCATAAGAAACGTTGAATTAGCAGGGTGTAAAATTAGCTTCACATGGATTACCTGAGTTCTGATGATGTGACCGACTGAACACCCAGAGGACCGTCCAATTCAACATGGCGTCTGACTGACCTTGTTCTAGTAACCAACCGGAGCCAAAACGCAAGAAGCAAACCGGATAGTTGGTTCAGAGAAAGGTGAGAAATAAAGAACCTGTGACCTCCAGTGACCTTCTGACTAATCCAGTTATGTTTGTCAGTTTTTGCTTCACAGTAAAAGTTTCATAGCAGCTTCGTCTCCCAGATGGTTGTTTTTTGGCATCAGAGCGTGAAATCCACCAGCCTCCTTCTTTCACCGTCTGAATAATGTATCGCTTCCAAAGAGAGACGCCTGATTTCATGACGGGAGAGAAACCAGTCAGTAAGCAGCCATCCGTCGCCCTGCTCCTGTCAGGCGGTGCGTTGGGACAGAGGCGGCTGCTTCTGTTGGAGGTAGAGCGTCAGGCAGATCATGCTCAATGTCGTGCAGAAATAAAAGAGACGGGAGGAGAAGAACGGCGGTGTTTCCATCCGGTGGCGATGGGTGGAAATGATGGTGCTTCAGAGACGGGGGGGCGAACCGTGCCGTGTTTGGATGTGGTTCTGATCATCGACTCTCTGTGCAGAAACATCGGATCAGGATTTCAAAATCCCTGCAGACAGAGAGAGGAGAGCTGGCAGTGATGTTTGCAGAAACTCCTTTGGCTCCTGTGTTTCAGGCCATTGAACGTCCGCTCATACTTACGTCCCCAGTTGAAGGCGATTGCTGCAGTAATGATAGCAATCCCTCCTAAAATAGAGACAACCGACAGCACCAAGGCATTGCGACCCAAACGGCGAGCTCCGTCCACATTGCCCTGTTGCAGGCTGTTCCTAGACTGAAGGAGAACAGGAATACATTATGGAGGTGATGACCAGATATTCCTTTGATCCAGGAAAGGGTTGGACATCGTACCATCAAGGAGAAGGTGAGCGCTACGATGTTAATTGGCACCAGGGGGCAGAAACAGGACAGGATGGCGAAGAACAGGTAGTCCCTGGGTTTGGATCCGTTCCCAGTGACCTCTGTGATTGCACTGGGCTGGCGTGTCAGCGAGGGCCTCGGGGAGCCCATCGCCAACGAGCCGGACCGGCTGCCCAAGCTGGGCCGGCCATTAAGATGGCTGCCTGGTTTAACGTGAAACTTGGGCGACACAGAGGACACTACGGGGGACGCTTTACTCCTCACAGGAGTGACGCCGTTACCTGGAAGTAAGAAATGATGAGAGAAAATAAAAACCAGTTAGCATTAAAGGCTAATCTCACATTTTCAGGATTTGATGTAGTTTTGACCAAAGAACAAGACTTTGACAGGAAACCGATGAAGTCAGGATTGCAATTTCTATACATTCTTTTATATGGCACTATTGGCTCATCATTTTTACTCTGAATGGGGGGCAAGGGGGGGGGGGGGGGGGGGGGGGGGGCATGCAGCAAAGGATGGAATGGAACGTGGGCTGGCCACGTCGAGGACTAAGGCCTCCGTACCTCGGTCGTGCACGCTAACCACTGCACCACCGCAGGATGCCCAAGACTTTATTTTTTTATCTCGTGAAATGCTAATGTAAACAAACAGTCCCCTGGAGAAGCAGTGGGACTTTTTGCAGGAATCATGTCCCTCCTTCATAGTTTATTCTGATAGAACCAAATAAAAAGGTTTTAAATTCACTGCTTCCTCCTGCTGTGCAGCTCCCTCTAACTCCTCTGCATAGTTAATTCTAGTTTCCATGGTAACCTGGAGGATGGTGGAAGCCTGTCACTGGAGCTCTTCCATGTTTTTCTCTTTGACTAGATGCAGGAAAAAGTAGATATTAATGATCTAGATTATATTTACGCTGTTTTCTACACAAAAGAGTTGCTCTCTGTCGTTAAATGAAAGAAAAACACTCAATGATTACAGAAATACCTAAATCTGACAAAAGTAAAAATGCATAGAAATTCTTTGAAAATGAAACCAATGAATGTCAGACGTCATTTTTCACTGAATGATTTAAAAAATAAATTTATTAAATAGTCCTGGACTCAAACGACGGTCCCTTTATCATTCTGTTGTCCAGCCTTTAGAGTCAGTCTCTGCTATCATTGGTTCCTGTTCTTGTCCGAACATGTATAATTCAAGTTTTCAGGATCCCGGACAAGCCCCCAAAATATATTTAAAATGAGTTTATTTGTAAAGTGTAAACATTTTATGGTTAATTCTTTAAGCTAGATAACATGCAGTGAACATGTTTCAGACACTTATTTGAAAGTAAGAAAAGAAGTAACAGATTTTTAATGTTTTGACAGATTTGATGGACAATGACACTAATAACCCTGTTAGAAAAGCAGTCACAATAATTTACATGAGAATATTTAAACAATTCAATTAATTGATCTGCATCACATCCAATCCTGTCTGAGGGCAGCTTGCAAAAAAAAAAAAATTGATTGATTCTGTCCTTCAGTGGATAAAATCTTTGATGTTCCCTAAATTGTATAATTTACATTCTCAGGATCCCGGACAAGCCCCCAAATAGACTCAAAAAAAAATATCATATGAAGGGTTAAACATCTGATAGGGATTTGATTAAGATGGAGAGTAATTAAGTTTCATAGCATGCAGTGAATATTTCAGACTCTTATTTGAAAGTTGCCAAGTCAAATCAAAACGGGAATTGCTTACGTTCCTAATATATGCATGTTTTTCAGATTCCTTGTTCATGTGTGGCGTTACACAGAAAGCCATTAGAATAACATCACATGAACAACAGCTCTTCTTAATAAAGAGCTGCAATCTGGAATCGATGGCAATCATTCAAACAGACGGACTAATTGCTGAAAAGTCAGACCAGCAAAGTGAATCAATCTGAGGTTTCCTTTTCAGCGGAGCTTCTTTACTCGTTACTAATCAAATGTTTCTGTGGACCAGAGGAGGACTTACTGGTCTCTGTGCTCTCACTGATCACCGTCAGGTGGTCGATTGATTTTTCTTTTTCTATCTGTCTGACCTCTGGGGCTTCTGTAGTTGCCGTAGCTGTTTGCTGCTCCTCGCTGGATGCTTGAGGAGTTGCAGCAGGCGGGAAAGCCTCTTTGTCTGGCTGTTTGCTCGTTGGCTGCTCCTCCTGATGGGTCTCCTCCATGGAGCTGGATTGTGGGGCACCACTGGGACTGGTGGCCATTGGGCTGGTCAAACGGGGGTCTGGTGAGGACAGGCTGAAGGCAAGGCCCGTTCTGGAAAGAATTCAAGATGGAATCAGTCATCTGGCTTTAATGGCAGCAACTAAGAAAACAACAAATATATCAACACCCGATCAGACAGACCGAAGTTTAATCAAAACAGCAAACAGAGAAGCTTTATGGTTCATGTGTTTATGGAAGTCTGTATGTCCTTAATACTCTTCGGAGGAGGAGGAGTAAAAATGTCCTTTTTTCTGTCTTTCAATCGTTTTTCTAAACTAATTCTGGGTGTTATTATATCCATTGTTTTTTTTTTTTTAGGTGTGTCCGTCAAGATTTTTTTCCCTGACTGGTCGGCGTCCTTAAAGTATCTTCACACCAAACGCGAATTTCGCAGCTGCAGCAAAAGATTCCCGGTATCTCTAAGTAGAGTGCAGATGTAGAGCGAAGCAAAGCGGAGTGAAGCTGATGGTGAATGTAGGGAGGTTAATGGTCTGATTTTGAAAAAGTTGGCGACATCGGGTCGCTGCCGGATTCGCTCATAAGATCCAGACAGAGAAGGAGCGCGGCAAAGACCTGCTTATTTTATTAAAAACATCCACCTAATTTGAACTAATCCTCGCCTGTTTGCATAACCAGATGGAAAAGCAAATAACTGAGGAACTGTAAGCCCAAATTACCTGTGATACATCATTTAAAAACTAGAACATTGGGTGAGTAAAGCTCAGCCCAAGCTGCATCATGACTCAAAGTTTTTTTATTCTTGAAAATCTTTTTTGAACAGCAGTAATAAGGACATGCATGAGAAAAGGCAGGTCTCATTTTATTACATCATGTCGACCAAAACTGCAGAAAATGTCAGACTTCTATCTACAACAGTTCCAGAGCTGCAGGGTTTGAACTTTTTTAGACATTGTAATAAAAAAACTTTAAAAGAGCTGAAGCTGAAGGAGCCTCTGAGATGAAAACTTCACATCCAGCAGCCTAGACTGGACTTTTCTAAGCTGGATCCTGACCTGGATCCTGACCTGGATCCTGACCTGGATCCTGACCTGGATCCTGACCTGGATCTTCACCGATATCGGTTCTGATCCTCAGCAGCTTCAGATGTGTTGGACCCATCTGGTTCTTAACACCTGCAGGATTTAGGAGGCCCTTTAAATGTTGATCGGACCTCATCTGAGGCCCGGTTTCATGCATCATTCTGACCCATCTGGACTCTTCAGAACCGTTCATAAACTCACTGACCGCTAGGGAGCAGAACCCCTCCCCCGATTCTCTCAGAACCATCAGCTAACTACCAGAACCTGTAGGTCCACTTTCACTAGAACCTTTGACGGCTCTCAGATGGAGAACTGGACTTTAATCAGTAGAACTCAGAACTTTATTGGTTCTGCTTCAAACCTAACAGATAACTTCTGGGTCAGAACATTGTGGAAGCTTGAACGATGATGTTTTCCATGCTGACAGAACCGAGAACTCCCAGAGCAATTAACCTGCTGTTCCTGCTTCAGTCCGAGGATTAACAGATCGGACCCGTCAGAACCACCGAGGACGCAAACATGAAGTCCAGCCGATGGTTTTAGCTCTGCAGCAGCAGTGCCGGTTCTGTTTGGTTCCGATGAATCGGATCAGAGTTTGATTCCCAGCCTCCTGCATCGATCCTCTCTGGTGACATGAAGGCCCCCCAGAACCAGATGGAGGCTCAGGGTTCTGGAACCCGACCCAAAGGGATGTTCTGTCGGTGGAAGGTTCTGATGGAGGAGATAAAATCCTTATCGGGTCAAAGATGCAACCTGATCCAGATCCGGGCTGATCGGGTCTGCCTGGAATCCGGGTCCAGGCGGTCCAGTACCAGCTTTGCGCTGCTGCTGAGGCCCGGTCCAGATGTGGTTCTTCACCGACCCGTTCATGTTCTGAACAATAGTTGCTCCAAAGGAGTCGTACCTGCTGATCCTGGATCAGAACCGGAACTCAGGGGTCATCTGTGACATCATCAGAAGGTTCTCCTGCAGCTGACGTCCTTCTGCTCACTGGATTTCAGAGGTTCTGGTCCCTCAGAACCAAACGGCCCGGTTTCACCGTCTGGATCAGGAACATTTTCCTGGACCCTGCGGTTCTGATGCACATCTGGTCTCCAGAGAAGGTTCTGGATTAAAATCAGATCCGGGCCTGAGAAAAGGAACTGATGTTTGTCCCCCTCCCCTTTTCCCAAAAAAATGGGTGGAGCTTAAGAGCAGGAAGCGATAATGTGCTGCTCTGATTGGTCGATTCAGACGGAGACCCAGTGAAGAACCAGAACCAGCACTGGGACTGGTTTGGTCAGAGAAGGTCCGATCTTTACTTCTGGTTCCTCCCATGTAAACAGAATCCGTTTGGTTTGTTCTGATCCAACAGAATTTCAACCCGACCCGGTTTCAGGTTCTGATGGAGGACCAGGATCAGGTCCAGTCTTACTATAAACTTTTCACACTTTTTATCAAATCTGAAGATAATTCAAAATAAAACTAAAATCACAGTTTGTAACTTTGGATTTGAAAGTTTTAATAAATAAAAATAATTTTCTGAGAAATTGGATCCTAATTTCTGTAATTATTTAAATAAAAGTAGAAAACGTTTCTATTTCTGAGTGAACAATAGAAATTAAAGGAAAATTTAAATAACAAACACTAAAATAAAATTAATAATAATGAAAAATCTTTAAATGTGAAATATTGAGTAGATTTGTCTCCCTGCGGTTCTGATCATCCCATCAGGTCCAGTAGATGGAAGCTGGTCTGAGTGATTCCTGCTCCAGAACTGGATCTTTTATCGGATCGGAACCGAACCCAGACATCAGCTTCCATCTCTGTCTCCTCTGGGACAGACGCCAGACCTCTGGCTGCTTCCAGCATTTTCTAGAAGCCTTCCTCCAGATGAGCTGCAGGTCCAGGAACCTGGAAATGAAGCCTGAGAGGAACCGAGGAGAGCAGCTGAGCTCCAGCAGAACCCACCATGAGCATCGCAGAGAGACAAAGGGAAGGACGCCGTGACACACCCACTCAGGACACAGCAGAGGCAGGTCCCACACCGAACTGCCTTCCTCGCCTCAGGAGGAGCTCACCTGGTTTCAGTCCATGGCCAGCAGCAGGCTGAGGCTCAGTGTGGGTCTGCAGCAGGTCTAGGAGGTCCTGCCTGAACGTCAAACCGATGTGAGAGAAGAAGGTGGAGAAGATGGAGATGCTTTCAGCTCGGAGCAGCCAGGCAGTCGCTTCTGCTGCAGCACAGTCGCTGCAGCAGCTTCTCCTTCAGCAGCAGGAGGTGGGAGTGTGTGTGTGTGTGTGCGTGTGTGTGCAGGAGCAGGTTAGTACACAGACATCATGAGAGGAGCTTTCAAAATAAAAGCCTGCTCGGTGAATGCACGTACGCTGCCTCTGCTTTGCTAAACCTGATCTCCAGCTGCTCCTCTGTGGGATGCCCAGGCTCTCATGGCTATGGCGCGCCGAATGGAAAAAAATTAACTAAAAAATATCTTCTCTTGAAGGTGGTACCATGGTCTGGGTTTGGATCGTCTCCTCTAAGATGGTAGGAGGCGGTACCATGGTCTGGGTTTGGATCGTCTCTTCTGGGACGGTAGGAGGTGGTACCATGGTCTGGGTTTGGATCGTCTCCTCTAAGATGGTAGGAGGCGGTACCATGGTCTGGGTTTGGATCGTCTTTTCTGGGACGGTAAAAGGCGGTACCATGGTCTGGGTTTGGATCGTCTCCTCTGGGACGGTAGGAGGTGGTACCATGGTCTGGGTTTGGATCGTCTTTTCTGGGACGGTAAGAGGCGGTACCATGGTCTGGGTTTGGATCGTCTCCTCTAAGATGGTAGGAGGTGGTACCATGGTCTGGGTTTGGATCGTCTTTTCTGGGACGGTAGGAGGTGGTACCATGGTCTGGGTTTGGATCGTCTCCTCTGGGACGGTAGGAGGTGGTACCATGGTCTGGGTTTGGATCGTCTCCTCTAAGATGGTAGGAGGTGGTACCATGGTCTGGGTTTGGATCGTCTCCTCTGGGACGGTACGAGACGGTACCATGGTCTGGGTTTGGATCGTCTCCTCTGGGACGGTAGGAGGTGGTACCATGGTCTGGGTTTGGATCGTCTCCTCTGGGACGGTAGGAGGTGGTACCATGGTCTGGGTTTGGATCGTCTTTTCTGGGACGGTAAGAGGCGGTACCATGGTCTGGGTTTGGATCATCTCCTCTGGGACGGTAGGAGGCGGTACCATGGTCTGGGTTTGGATCATCTCCTCTGGGACGGTAGGAGGCGGTACCATGGTCTGGGTTTGGATCATCTCCTCTGGGACGGTAGGAGGCGGTACCATGGTCTGGGTTTGGATCGTCTCCTCTGGGACGGTAGGAGGTGGTACCATGGTCTGGGTTTGGATCGTCTCCTCTGGGACGGTAGGAGGTGGTACCATGGTCTGGGTTTGGATCATCTCCTCTGGGACGGTAGGAGGCGGTACCATGGTCTGGGTTTGGATCATCTCCTCTGGGACGGTAGGAGGCGGTACCATGGTCTGGGTTTGGATCGTCTCCTCTGGGACGGTAGGAGGTGGTACCATGGTCTGGGTTTGGATCGTCTTTTCTGGGACGGTAAGAGGCGGTACCATGGTCTGGGTTTGGATCATCTCCTCTGGGACGGTAAGAGGCGGTACCATGGTCTGGGTTTGGATCGTCTCCTCTGGGACGGTAGGAGGTGGTACCATGGTCTGGGTTTGGATGTTATCCTCTAAGACGGTAGGAGGTGGTACCATGGTCTGGGTTTGGATCGTCTCTTCTGATGCAGAAAAGTCCAGCAGGGATTTTAAAGCAGCATCTGCTGCATTTAGGTCTACATCTTCTCCAAGGATGTTGATGATGGGAAACCACCCTCTGAAGGTCTGGATGAGGAAGAGGAGTGGGTAGTCCGTCCCCAGAAGATACAGGTGGAAACCTAAAGATGGATCTGCAGGGAGAGCAGGACATAAAGGTTTCTGGATCTTCATGGATTGGGATCTTCAACACCCAGATCATTCACTCGTCTTGGTTTGATCTCACAGAGGATTGAGGAACAAGTGAATCGTTTCTCACTGCAGGACTTCGGATCAGTTCATCCTTAGCAAAATCAACAGAGCTTTTATTGTTTCAACTGTTCAGTCCCCTGGATGCTGGGCTCTTATTTTGATAGTTTCCAGGAAGAGTTGATGATTAATGTTTTATTCTGAAGATTCTTCAATTTAAACGGTTCTTTATTCAAATCTCTTGTGTTTATCGCCACCTAGTGGCCACAGAGGAACTAGAACATTTAATTCAACTCTTCAACACTTCATTATTCCAGAAGGAAACTAAATGTTGAAGCTGAAGGCAGGAAGGATCTTCTGCAGCATCTGGATGCTCTGACTGACGACCCTCTGCTGGTGTTTATCTGATGAAGATGAGGCTCACTGTCATCTATCATCTTCGTCCTTCTCTGGGAAACCATCTCCAGAGGTTCTAGAGGAGTTCCTAGAAGAGAGACGTTGTTCTGTCAGACCAGCGAACCCAGTCAGACCAGCAAACCCAGTCAGACCAGCGAACCCAGTCAGACCAGCATAGGCAATACTTCCTTTAGTTTATCCCTTTGGTTTAGTATGAATAATAGACTTTAAACTACCTCAGCAGGCGTGTTTCCCTTAATTCATGTACAGAGAAATTATTTAATTTCTTACTTTTTGGTGTTTCTGAAGCGTACGGCGATCTGACCTTAAATTGGGTTTTTTTGTACATGACTAAAGGAAACACGCCCTTTAAGGTAGTTTAAAGTCTATTTTTGTACAAAACTAAGAGGGATACATTGAATATAGGTATGCTGGTCTTACAGAACACCATCCCTCTAGTCATTAGCTCTGACGATGATGATGATGATGATGATGATGGAGGAAGAGATCAGACTGATAGACGATCTGCAGCATCTTGCTGAAATCTGAGAGAAAAAAGGAGCTTTTTGATTTATTGGGATGTTTCTATGGTCAGTTATTCTGAGGCTTTTTAATCTGATTCCTTCACTTCAAACCAGTGGCGGATCTAGAAAATTTTACATGGGGGGGCAAAGAGGTGGCAAGAGGTCTTGGCAGGGTGGCAGAAGTAGATGGTACATGGGAATCCTAATGCTGCGTTCACACCGGGGGCAGCAAAAGCAGCAAAATCGCGTCTGCTGCTTCATTTTTGCTGCTTGTACCAGTGAATTCTGACGCGCGTCTGATGCAGCTTTGCTGCTCTCGCTGCGCGGTCCAAAAGTGGGTCTGACGCGCGTTGGGCGGAGCTTCACTATCCTTTCTCTGCCTTGCAGCTATATTTGCTGTGATCAGTGGGAATAAAGTAGTTTTAATATGTTTTTAAGTGAGAAAATACACCTGAAAACTTCATCAGTGCAGTCAGTTCATCCAGATTACAATCCTGCCTCCCAATATTATTTCTGTCGGAGCCGCTCAGACCCCCACATACCAGCGGTGCGCCGACAGAAGGAATCCATTCATCAGCAGCCTCTGGTTGGGTCGCCTCCTCGCGGTTTACCGCGGCGGCTGGTAGGTGTTTTTCATCTAAATAATCCGATCTGCAGGCATCAGGATAATAAAACCGAACATATTCTGCCGGCAGATGTATATATTTTAAGTTAATTGTGCGTTAATAAACTGTTTAAGAGGAGTAATCAGAGCGGTCTGTGTCATCAGCGCTGTGTCTCTCTCCCAGCCAGCTCCCAGATCAGCTTCTCTGATTGGTTGACGCGGCGCGTCGAGCAGCAAAAATTCAATTTTTCCATCTCGAGCAGCAGCGCGTTTGCGGCGCGTCGCGCGCGTCAGATGCCAAAACGCGCCCGACGCGCTGCTTCAGCTGCTCAGACGCGCTGCGTCTGCTGCTCGAAACGCGCCGCGGGACCTTTTGCTGCGCCTTGACGCGCGTCAACCATTGACTTTGCATGTAAACTCGCTGCTTCTGTCGCGCCAGCTGCCCCCGGTGTGAACGCAGCATTATATGTGAGCTGCTTTAACCAAATAAACATAAAACACTTTTAAACTACAGTAGTTGTTGTTTAATCATGCCCTTACACACTACAAAGTTTTTCTTTTAAATTCACAACAGAATAAGCAAAGTGCAGTGATCGAACAAAAAAAACCTGCATCTTTTAAAAAGTAAAAGTCTAACAAGCAAAATCCCTTTAATTTATTTGTTATAATAATTGTGTCCAAGATGCAGTGGACTACAAGCACTTATTTCCTCATTTCCTTCACTCATTTCTGTCTCTCCTTCATGTATTTCCTCTTATTTGTCACTTATTTCTGTGTCTCCTTCAGTCTTTTCCTGCACTGACCCTCCTGGGCTCTCCAGTTTACTGCCTTCTCCCTCATTTCCCTTGCGCTCTTCCTCTTGTGTACTTGTTGGAATTTTCTTTGCAAAAAAGCTGGTTATATCCCCACTTTTAGCCTTCCTTTTCATGGCTAGGCCTATGAAGTAATATTTGCATGCAAAAGTCAATATGTGAAAACCTCTGGTTATCCTTGTATTTCATTAGCCTACACTGTAGGGCCATGGAACTTATAAGTTAAGTTGCATATACTACAATACCTATATATATATATATATATATATATATATATATATATATATACCTATATATATATATATATATATACCTATATATATATATATATATATATATAGGTATTGTAGTATAGCCTATATAACAAATATAAATGAGAAAGATTTATCACATTCACACACCAGTTATGTTTAGACTACTTAATTCTATTGTATTTGTTATTTCCCCAGTTATAACCTGGTTTCATTGCTGTGATATCTGAGAGGAAGTGGATTCATAGGTGTGCTCAGCTAATCAAATCAACCCTGTAGCCTGCGTGTTGTAACGTAACGGCGGCATAACGGTTACCATCAGTAAATCAGTTAACGTTATGGATAAAAAAAATATTTTGTATTTTTTTATTAAGCTGTTTTTTTCTTAACATTAATCAAAGGGAAGAGTGCTCTTACAAATCCCGAGGGAAGGATTTGACCGACACACTCGCTGTTTTTGCTAATCGTCTTTAGCAGATATTGACTACAAATGTAACTTTTAAGTGAAACGTGTGTTTAAACTACACCTGGTAAAAGTCACTTCACCTTCAGATGCCCTGGGACAGCTCAGTCTCTCCAGTTGGTTTGCACACTACAGAGCCACCACGACGCTGCAGACTGTGTGTGTGTGTGTGTGTGTCAGACAGACTGAGCGCGAACTGCGCTCTGCACGTTTGAATCAGGGGCGTAGCTAAGTATTTGAGGGACGGTGGCAAATAATACATTAAAAATAAAAAACTAAATTGCAACCTTTTGGTAAATGTATTGTTTTGAGAAGCCTGCGAACATAGTGGCAGGTTGTTTTTACAGGTACAGCTTTTGGATCATCAAAGTTAGGGGGGCAGCTGGGGGGGCAAGGCTCCATATTGGGGGGTCAGCTGCCCCCCCTTGCCCCCCTGTAGATCCGCCCATGCTTCAAACACAGAAGGAATCCAACATTTTCCTGCTCAGGCTGGGAGTTCAGTTCAATGAAGACATTCAACCTTTAATTTCTGGAGAAAAACATTAATTTAAGCAACAAGGGGAAACCAGAATAATCCAACTGCAGATTAAATAATCTCTCATGTCCTCTGAGGCCTCAACCATGAAGCCAGTTCAACCTACTGGGATTCCTCCCAGTCTAACCAGTCCACAGCCATCGAGAGCAGCGCTTCCAAGCTGGTTATCAACTCTCTAACTGCAGCTCAACTGATCCTGAATCCAGGATGGCGATGGCGATGCGATGGCGATGGCGTCCGCTGAAGCCCAGGTCAGGCGGCTTCCTGCTGATGCCTCAGTTGCAAAGTTTCTACAGCAAAAGTTTGACTATTTGGAGGAATCCATTTCACATCACTTCTAGTAAAAGTTATCTATCTCTTTATTGTAACATTTTAATGGAAAATAAGTTTATTTATTTTGTAATTTGCATCATTAGTAACTATAATGTGGCCATAAATCCTTATTTACCTGCATAAAATTGCTAAAATCCTGCACTATATCCACAAGTTCTTCATTTGACGTAGTGATAACAAACAAAACAAATATAAAAGAAAATGTGTAAAATAGCAGCAGGGCGGTAAAAACCATCAGCGGCTGAAAAAAGCGGCGCCCCAAAGTCTGGGTTTGAAAAAAGAGAAAGGTGTGTTACCTGAATAGTTCAGATTATTAATCTGTTGAGTAAAATAAGATCTGCTGAGTTAATCCTGGATGTCAGAGGAGAATAACCTCATTAATGATGCCACCCAGCTGAGTGCGTCTGAAACGCAGCAGGAACGATCCTTCTTTATTATTTTATTGTTGTTTCATTTTTAGTTTTAAAGAAAAATCAAACCAGGATTAATCCAGCATTTAATGAGCCTATTGTGTGTCTGTAAATAACACAGAGGCTCCCAGAGCTGAGAGTTTCCCTTCATCAACCAGAGCAGGAAACAGGAAACACCTTCAGAGGTTAGCAGCAGCTAAACGCTGGCAGATGTTTGGCAGGATATTTACATTAAATAACTTTCTTCCTCTTTGCTGGAGAAGATCATCAGGTCAGAATCATCCTAAAAAAAGTTAAAATCAATCCACTGGACTTTGTTTCCAAGTTTGAAGACGTTTCTCTTCCATCCAGGAAGATTTTTCAATTCAAAATGTCAAAAATAGCGTTGAGTTCCAGGTTTATCCAGCAGCCCAACAAAGCCTGGTTAATCTGCATGTTTTCTAAACTAAAACAAGGCTTTGTCAGGCCACTTTTGGGGCTCTTTTTTTGGAACTTTGTTCTGAACTTTGTGCTGTTATTATTTTGATAGGATGTAAGTTTTAAGAGGATGTACATACAACTTTTTTGACATTCTGATCATTTTGCTCTGAAGAATTGTTTTAATAAAAATAAAATTACATAGACAATGTAAATGATTCTCCTCATGGCATCTGAATAGCAGTTGAGCTTGCGTATTATTATTATTATTATTTTTTTTTACTTTTTTTTTTGGGTGGGGTGGGGTGGGGGGTGGGTGGGTGGTACGGGGGGCAATATCAATGTCTTTCATGGGGCCCCGAATCGAATTCCTGGCGCCGCCCCTGGTTGTTTGTTGTTGTTTCATCTGTTCTTCATAGAAACGGATCAGAGCTTTTCACCAAGGCTCTTATTTTGAAGGCTCGTCCAGCCGCTTCCTGTTTGCTCGGGAATATTCGGATCCGTTCGGCTGTCGGTGTTTCCAGAATCAAAATGACCAAACTGCAGCTGCTCAGCGCCTACCTGACGGAGCGGCTCACCGCCGTGGTGAAGGAGGTGCTGGACGTGGTGGAGGACACGGTGGCCCAGTACCGGGAGGAGACGGCCACCACCAGGCGGGAGAACGAGAGCCTACGGAGGCAGCTGCGGGACAT